GATTTGTATACAAATTAAAATATCTAATAACTTTTTAATATAAATAATTAAAAATAATCTATTAATTTTATTAGAATATTTGATAATTAAAAACTTGATAATAAACTTTTTGTCTTAGATTATATTATATATTTCAAGTTTTATTAGTAATAATCGTTTTTTTGATCAAATTTTTGATCAAAATATTTAGAATTGTGAATATTCGAAAATCACTGTTTTTGGTGTGAAAGGGTGGCCCGAAAGGGGGGGTGGCCCGAAAGTAGGGTAGTTGACGTCTATCTACTTTTTACATTAGGAATCTGCAAATTTCGATTCTTGAATGGTGACTTAACACTTCTGATATCTCACAATCTCACTATCTCACGGTGTAATAACACACCTCACCTCACCTCCTCCCATTCTAGTCCTCTTCGCTTAAATATATCGTCTATCAACCGTAAAAGGCTGTGAACATAACGCTGTGAACATAACGCGTGCTTAATTTTGTTTATCTGACCAGATCCACATGTGTACATATACTACTCGTAGGTACAGAATCCCTTTGACTTCGTGTTCGAGTTGTTCTTTTATAAATAATTTAAGTACAACATACTCGAATATCCTCGGGTATTTAGCGAATGGGTGAGTGAGAAAGTGAGTGAGAAAGTAAATAGGGTATCTGTAAACACTACTAACACACCAAACATATCACAATAATTCATACTATAATGCATCAATAAGAACCAAAAGCCTACTCCGAGCCCTAACCCCTTAGCCCCCTGGTCCCTTAGACATTTCTCCCTACTTTACTCCACTACATACATAGATCCGATCTATCTTCTTATTATCTACCCATATACATCTACCCATTCCATTTACATATAAGTGCGTGATATAAATCCATACTATAAAAGCATCCCCCTAAAGCGTTACTATTCTCTTATTTCCCCACCCCCCAATCCCATCTAAAGTAAAAATTGTAAACATTGTAAAAATACAGTATAAATGTATAATAAGATAAGATAAGATAATACAATACAACACAGCACAGCACAAGACAAGACAAAACATCCCCCAACTCCCCAAATCTAACTCATTACAATTTATCAGTATTAGCTAATTCGGTTCTAATAACTATTGATTGTCTGCATTTTTATCTTCATCTTCGTTGCAAGCTCAATCTCAATCTCAATCTAACCCTCTATATATATAAGCTTCCAAATTTCTCAGCTCCCTCTCTCCCATCTCCTCCCCCCATCCTTCCAATTCTACTATTTCAGTCCTAGCCAAACAGGTCATTGCAATTTCGCACATCTACATAAGATTTACTTATAGATATAACATCCCTCCATCTTCTCTTCTCTTCCAGACTCTCCAATTCTCACATTTCCATTTCCATTTCCATTTCCATTTCTTATATATCAACCCACAACACAACACACCATACACAATACACAGTACAGTATCTTTCCTTCCTTTTCTTCCCCACCCCCTTTTCAGACCTCATCTCCAATTCCTGATCCCCAATTCCCAATCCCCCACTCTATCCCCACCAACCCATTCATAAAGAAACCTACCCCCCCCCCCCCCCCCTCCACTCCATCCCCTTCATCCAAAAAACAAACCAGATCAAACCAAACTCCCCACATCCTATGTACATAATCATATACCACCATCACACATACCGGTATACTACCCTCACATACTACATACTCCATATTCCAGCATTCAGCTTCAAGCTTTCAAATCCAAAGATATATCATATCCATACATACCATATATTCATCTACCTCCTCCACCTCCACTTCCATCCCCCTTCCTCCCCCTTCCTCCCCCTTCCTCCCTTCTTCCTTCTATCCTTCATTCATCCAATTCTCAAAAGCAACCTATACCCCCATCTCTCATCTCACACCTCACATCTCAGATCTCATCTCACATCTCATACCCCCACCTCATACCCACATCTCACACCGATCCACAACTCGACTCTTGAGATCTAAACCTCCATTTCCAAACATCATCATCATCACCATCGTCGCACCATCATAGTATTATATCCAAGCTGTCTTTAAAGAAAAAAAGAAAAGAAAGGATAAAAGGCAAGCTCTCGCTCTCTCGCTCGAGGTGGGCCAAATGAGACGCGAAGAAAAGAAATCAAAATAAAACAGAGGTACAGCACAATACAGTATAAAAGAGATTCGGGAATAGTGTTATTTCTTCTGGTTCTAATAGCTACCCATCGAAAATAATTCTGCTCAGAAAAGGAATCTAGATTGAGACCTGGGAGTTTGTCACGTATTTGGAAGAGATGATAAGAATTTCTTGGTCTTAGATTTGATTCCCCTTCCCATCTGACGCATATTATTACCACTACCATAATAAATAAGTATTAATAAATTCTAACGCCGATGCTCCTATAAAATCGTTCCTAGTCGTATACTCGTATACACAGAAGAATCATCAGACCAACATAAAAAGCCCGCGAATACAGCCACATTCAACCTTTGGAAATTTTGCAACCTGGAACATTAATAATATCTTGTCCTTTGAACCATCTTGGACTTCGAAAGCATCTCATCCATGCCTACAACTAGAAGCCAAACTTTAAATTCATTCCCCAAATCAATCTCAATTCCCCAAGGACGACCCCAAGCCTAATTTCTGTTTCTTGATTCGGGGGATAATCCCAATCAATACAAGTACCGCACAGATAATGATAGCCCAACTCTTTATATGCAACAGGTTAACATTGAAATCTGTCCATGTCGCCGCGGAGATCGTGGCGAGGATTAGGAGGAGGATAAGGTAACCGCTTAGTCGATGGTATTTGTAGATAGATTTTGCGGTGGAGACCGAGCCGTAAAGGGAGGGGGTGTAGTATTGTGTGAAGCCGACGAGGGCTTGGACGAAGAGAAGCAGATATGTGATTAGGCCAACTAGAAATGTTAGTCTCATTTTGACATCTAGTGTTCAACAAGAAGAATACGTACGGATAGCATGAGCTGATACGAAATGGGTACCATTGTGTGCGAACTTATTGACCTCAATAACCACAAGTCCGGCAACAAGAATACTACCAGCTAGAGCATTTATTCCCGCGTGTGCGAGAGTACCCTGACGTTTCTGTGTGGCGGTATGCGTAGGTTGTAGAATGAGGATACCTTGGGTAAGAACCAAGAGTCCAGCAGAATTGAGTAGAGGATGTGCCGAGAAGAGCATTAACGGAGAAAGAAATATGCTGGCCCAAACGTGAGCTACGAGAAGGACGAGTCCGACTTGAGTTATTACTGCTGTGCCTGTTTGGCAATTCGATTTAGTTATTACTCTACTTTGAGTTAGACATCGAGAGGAATATATACCAAGTGCAAGATTCCAGAAGAGTGGCCGTCCTTCTTGCTGTGATGCATCGCCGACTCTTCCTAGCAAAGGCTCATCTTCTCCATAGCCAGCCACATGAGGTTCTTGGAGCTCTCCTGTTACTACTCGAGGGTTTTCTGGTATTCCTGTGACGGATGACATATTTTGATATCTGGAATTACGATATTTCTCAAATGATTGATGTACCGGTATGTGAATCCAAATGTGAATTGAAAACAAATGAATGATGACCTCGTATGAAGTCCGTCCTACCTACATGAATACCTAGTACGAATAATACCGGTAACTATTGTATGTAGTACGAATAAAAGTAGATGGTGTCAATGAATCTGGATTGCGGGGATAATGAACCAATCATTGAGCTCGCTTCTGTAATCAAAATTCTATGTCAAGACATCACGGAGTCCGGTTGCATATTGCGCGATGCTGAATGCTTACCTATGCTTACTTCCGTAATAGCTTGGTGTTGCATACTGATTGAACTTTCTAGAGCAAGCCGTTGTAGAGTGTTCATTAAGAGATGAATTGAAATTTAAGTGCAAATGGACGAAAGAAAACTTGCTGGAGCTGGACAAGCTAGCGCAACCCCATATAATATATACAACAATCTGAACATTCCACGCCTCCTCGCAGATCTAATCTGATATCAGTTAAACTTCAAACAAGTCAGTAGATGTCTGAAAAGCCAGAGACCCTCCAGTATAAAACACACACGTTTCTATGTGAAATTATCAGATGAAGCAGATAAAGCAGATGGAAGCAGATGATAGCGGGGCAAGAATACGCTTATCGAGATAGGGACATTTATCGGAGGACACCGATATGGGGAGCAGCATTCATTACTCGATGGAAATTGCAAACTCCCAAAATCCTACAAAACTATCTTTTTGTTTAATATTTCTTCAATCTTCCCTCTCACAAGTCAAGTTTGAAGTCGGAGTTCTTTCTCTTTAACAAACCTCTTCTTTTAGTACTTCAACATGTCATTTGAAACAGAATACAAGATCGAAGATGTTGCTGCAACATCAGTGGCATCGAACAATATTGATGCTACTTTCCGCTCAACCTGTATTGGTAAGTGTTACTTTACGTTGGTGTTGTGTGTTTTGAGACAAGATAACGCTTTGAAATTCCCCAGGCAGTGATACAATTATGGATGGAAGATTGAGGGCATCATTGTCACTGTTCTTTGGATGGGCAATATATACAAGAATGTTCCTCAAGTGGGGGTGGAGTTTCTGTTAGGTGTTGCGGTGCACCATCTAACCACCGTGTAGCATTGTTTTGGGTTGTTTTGGGTTGATATTAGGCTAATTCATTATCCTAGATCTGATATCCGGAACTCTTGGTGGAAAAGTCCTTTCCTTTTCAGATGAATGGTTTGCGGAAGCAAATAATCTTCTTACTCCTACACCACCCATCAGACAACCAGGAAAGATGGTATACACTGGTGCCTGGTACGATGGATGGGAGACTCGCCGACACAATACTGCGCCTTTTGATTACGTTGTAATTCGTCTCGGGGTTGCTTCCGGAACAATCGAGGGAATTGAAGTTGACACAGCCTTCTTCTCTGGAAATCATGCACCTGCCATTTCTGTTGAGGGTGTACTTAGTGACAACGATGAAGAAGTTGTTGGATGGAAAGGTGATCGCGGAAAATGGGAAACAATTCTTGGTTTGCAAGAATGTGGCCCTTCGCAGCGATTTGGCTGGAAGCTTGATATTCCAACTACAAAAGCATACACTCACGTGAGGCTTAATATGTATCCGGATGGTGGAATTGCTCGGTTTAGGCTCTTTGGTCACGCTATACCTGTTTTCCCGGAAGATAGGAATGCCATCTTTGATTTGGCTGCCGCTCAAAATGGAGGAGTTGCTATTTCTTGTAGTGACCAGCATTTTGGAGTGATTGCAAACCTCATTTTACCTGGACGTGGGAAGGATATGGGAGATGGGTGGGAAACATCAAGATCAAGAGGAAAAGATCATGTGGATTGGGCCATTATCCGACTAGGAGCACCAGGCACCATTGAAAACCTGATTGTTGATACAGCATTCTTCAGGGGTAACTTTCCACAAAAAGTGAAGGTTGAAGCTATTAGCTGGAATGCCGAAGCAGAGCCTGGTGCCTTGGCTGAAGGATGGACTACAGTTGTTGAGCCCAGTAAGACAAGTGCTGACAAGGAGCATGAATTCGAGTCCTTGTTAAAAGATAAACCATTTACTCATGTTAAGTTGATCATGATACCTGATGGAGGAGTGAAGCGAATTAGGGTGTTGGGAAAGAGAAGCATTTAGATGAGACAAGGAGATATTAGAAACAACTCAGCCATGCGCTATGATATGAGTTTATCTGTTCAATGTTAAAGAACCGAAGGGCTTAGAATGAAAAGATGTTCATAGAAAAATCATAAAATCATCTTCTCTCCTGGCTAATAAAATAGCAGTCAATATACAAATGAAAACTAAATGCTTCAAGTTATAATTAAAGGAAACAAAGTAAGGCTGAAGACGACTTTGTCTGTCCGTCCGGTGAAACCTTGTAAACGCTCGGACCACCATTTCAAGATAACTTTAAGGCCCGGCGTCATTGAAAGTGTTAGAAAGTCCAAGTCACCACAGCAGCTTCCCTGTGGAATCAACGAGATTCCAAAAACTTGATACGCTCCTCTGAATATTACCATCTGCAGCACACAAAAATTAATCCATTCGATAAGTACTCAACAGATGTTTTGTTGGTTATATGCAGTCTTCCTGCTGTTGTGATGGACATCGGGGACAATAATGGAGATATCGGTGGTTTTGGAGATGGTTTTAGGGAAGAAACAGTAAAACCACGATCACTACCTGATGATTTACCCAAGTCACTTGATGATCGAAAGAATGTATCTGCAGAGTATGCACCTGAGACTGAGATGTATGATGCATGGCAAGGTATGACAATCTGATGGAAGAAAGAACAAATCCACCAACTGACATATTTAGGACAATCGCAATTCCTAACAACTCCTGTCTTGGCCAAACCACTGGAATTTAAGAACCTTTCACTCGGAAACGAAGGCTTCGATGACGATATTACAAAACAAAATACAGGGGATAGTGATAACAGGCTCATGGAGATGCTAGCCGCTCAGGCAGCACATCGAGATGGCTCAGCTAGTGAGGACGAAGATGCTGTCGCTACCGATGATAAGCTTTCGCTGGAAGAGAAGAAAGATATATTACAGAAGGCTCTGAATATGGCTGCAAGTAATGGGGATGTTGATCGCATAGAGAGAATCCTCCAAGGTAAAGCAAAAGACCTTGTAGATGTGGATGCGCCGGATGAAGAAGGTACAGCGCCGATAATATACGCAAGTTGTTTTGTGAGTAGTGACTAATGTCGTTCTATACCATAAAGCAACTAACGAATGCGCAGGGCCATGAAGCTGTGGTAACAGCACTACTGGATGCTGGTGCTGATGTCGACAAACAAGATCGAAATCAGTGGAGCGCCTTGATGTGGGCAATGACAAATCGACACAAGGGCATAGCGAAGGCACTTCTAGATAGGGGTGCATCTAGGGACATTAAATCATCAACAGGGAGGACGGCATTCGACTTCATTGCTCCAGACAGCGAAATTGCCGATTACCTTCAGGATGGTGGATATCATATTGGCAATGCTGGAGTCACGGACGATTTTTACAACCCTGGATTCTCTCAGGATCGATTCGAGGAAGAAATGGCCGAAAACGAGATGAGGCGGCGAATGATGATGGAGAGTGCTAGAGATCTCGAGGTTGATTTGGGTAACATGGGTATTGACGATCAGCCTGAATCACCAGAAGAGTTGGAAGAAGAGGGACAGGATTTCGACTGGAGTCGATGTTTACATGACCAAATGTTTGTGTTTCAGGAGAGTGAACTTGGTCGAATCTTGGATATCATTATCACTAATATGTCCCCTCAACGATCGCCATCTCAGAAACCTGTACCAGCGAACATGATATTTCTCAGTGCGCGATATGCTCACTATCATGCAAGTCATGATCTCCTGGCTAAACTCCTCATAAGCGCTATGGATAAGATTAACGATGTGGTCGAAACACATCAGTGGGATATGACAATCCTGGCATTCTGGATCTCGAATGCTACATTGCTATTACACTATTTGAAAAAGGATGCTGGACTATCTGAGTCCACGTCAGAGTTCCAACTCCAACTTGCGGAATTGATCAATGAAATTTTCATCTTAATTATTCGGGATGCTGAAAGGAGAATGGATAAGGTTCTTGACTCTGCAATGTTAGAGCATGAAACTATTCCAGGATTTGAGGATGTCACATTTCAGAACGAATGGAAGCTTTTCAAAAGAAAAGCTACTGTCAAAGAAGTACCCATCGAAAAACGATTTCGACCGCCCTCCCCAAAGGCGAGGGCTAAGCCATCACCCCGCAACGTCACATCGTTATTATCTTCTACTTTGTTTGTGTTGGATCTTTATGACATACATTCTGTCATTACTTCTCAAATCCTGGCACAGCTACTTTACTGGCTTGGAGCCGAACTTTTTAATCGCATCATGTCTAATCGAAAGTACCTAGCACGAACCAAAGCAATGCAAATACGCATGAATGTATCAAGCCTTGAAGAATGGGCACGAACGAACAATCGACAACCTGAGCATTATGAGCATGGTTCAATGACTTCCAGCGGAGAAATGACGATTGAGGCAACGCGGCGACATCTCGCACCATTAGTTCAATTGCTACAGTGGTTACAATGCTTCTCGTCTTTGGGACAAGACGATTTAGAAGCTCTAGTTGGGACATTACAGCAGCTCACACGACTTACACCCCAGCAACTAATACACTCGGTGAAACATTATCGAGCAGAAGTTGGAGAAAAGGGGTTGCCAAAAAGTGCCATGAAATATATAATCAATTTACAAGAGGAACATAGATTACGAAAAGAGCGTCAAAAAAGAAACTCACAAGGTCTACGCATGAGTGCACCATCGACGCCGGCCAAAGGGGGAGGTAAACAATTACCCGATACCCCTGACTCGAATGGCAAAGGTGGAAAACCTCAATCTCTCGATGATGAATCGTTTGAGGAAGAAGACGATGCACCCGAGAACCTTCTTTTAGACCCAGCTCTCATGCTTCCTTTCTCTCTACCTTCTAGCACAGATATGTTAATAAGTTACGGGGCAGGATTTGGCGGTATGAATCGAGAGAGAGAACGAAAATATATTCCTACCGTTCCTCCGGAATTCCTCGCGAAACTTGATCTCAGTGGTGGGAGAGCACAATCCACATATCACGAGCGAGATTGGGAAAATGAGGAACTATGAGGGGAGCTGATGTAGTGTTTATGCATTATTTGATGGTGGAATGAATGATAGGAAACAAAAGAAAGCATTTATTGGTAGGGAGCATGGCGTGGCGTTTTGTTGGCGTTCCCAAAGATGGATGCTGGATGCGTGGCCGCATACACGGTGCTTCAGGTGCGGTGCTTCGGCTGGCATTAAATACATGCATGCAAGTATGACATGGTTTAGGTCATAGGATGGGTTATCTTTCTATTCAGTGGAACGATCGATACTGATACCGGCATTGTATTGTACTTGACGAGAAGAGAAGAGAAGAGAAGAGAAGAGAAGAGAAGAGAAAAGGAAGAGGAATTTTTTGGGGTTGAAATGGCTAGCATTTTCATCGGAATGATTGATATACAGTACAGTATGATTGTTGTTGTGCTATGGATTGCTTTTTTTGTTTGGTAGAATCTACTCGTATATGAGTATACGAGTATTAGATAGGAGAGAGAATATCAGAATATCAGAATTGAGAGGGTTTAATATTTTATTGTCAATTTTGTGTAAGACTCATGGATGGTATTTGTATTAGTTAGTATTGATATTGATATATGTTTCACAAAAAGATAGTCGATATTTTTCTTTCCTTTCTGTGAGTCGAGGGAGGCCTTCTGGCCGTTTTGTACAATGTAAGTATGCATGTATATGTGTAGTGAGTGGTATATATGTACAAGTGACATTTTCTCCGGTATAGATGGATGGTGATGTTACATAGTGTATAGATGGATAATATATGGATATGGATATGGATACTGTAATTAGTGATGGTGTAGTGATGTATGGATGGATGATGTTGTGTTTGGATTTGGATTTGGATTTGAAAATACTTGAGTATATGTAGAGTATATAGCGATCCTCGGGTCGTTGAAATCTCGACAGCTTGTTGAATAGATTGACGCATCTTTTGGTGTATTTTCCATGTGATATAATGCTCGAGTATATATAGAGAGAGAGAGAGAGTATAACTTATATTTATATATACCTAGTAGGTGATAGATAGATAGATAGATAGATAGATAGATAGGTTGGGTTCTAGGAGTGTTAGGAGTTTCAGGATCGGAGTTCCTCCTCATTAGAAGAGATCAGTATGAAGTGATAGATAGATTGATGGATGAATGGATCGGGAAAGAGAAGAGGGAAGAGGGAAGGAAGTATCGATTGATTTGATTGATTTGATTGATTTGATTGATCGAAGGGAAAGTAGATACTATATCAATTGAGAGAAGAAATTTAATTAATATATTTATTTGTATGAAGAGAGTTCTTTTCTATATGATCTCTATACTGAGTAGGTATGTTTTAGGGCTAGGAGTCAAGATCGGGATTCGTTGAGGTTATGATTTACTCGAGTATATTTTTTAAGATTCATGATTTAATAGGAAAGTGAGGTTTTCATACTTGAGTATATGAATTCGAATTCTAACACTCTATTAGTAGAAGTCATTAATGTCCTATTCCTAGAGTTTTTTGTGAGAGATATCCTCCTCTCTTTTGTTATGATTTGATTCACACGACCAACTAACTGTATTGAACTGGACTGGGCTGAATCGGATTTGACATGTACAATACCTACTTACCTACTCATTCCAATGTTATTAGGATAATTAACTTCTAAAAAAATCAATTTATCAAATCTAACCTAACCTAACCTAACCTCTTCAGATATCCAACATCCTAATCCAACAGAAGAGAAGAATAGAATGAATGATCAGCGATCTTCACTATCAATTACTTGTAAGGGGGTTACAAGCACTACAACAACACTACAACATTACAGTCCAATAACAGGCCAGTAAGTACTACAACACAGAAATCACAGAGAACATACAGGCCACTCACTACTACACAGTATAGCACAGGCTGGCTGGCTGCACAGCACCTGCATCACCTGCATCACAACATTGATAATTCGTGATCATCTATCACATTATTTATATCAAAACTTCAAATTCTTTTCAATCAATTCAACCAATTCAACCTTTGTTTTTTTTTTCAAGGTCTTTCACAAATCTGAATCAAAATACTTCAAAAGAATGAATTATAAATTATAATGGCACCAATTCAAAAATTTGGAAGTCTTAGAGGCTCTATTCGGGGAGGTCTTCAAAAGAAATCATCTACCAATACTAATAACACTAATACCAATATCAATATCAATATCAATACCGGTACCCCAGAAGTTACGAATACGGTGACCGATGAAGTACTAATTGCGATGAGATATGAAGACATGTTCCCTGGAGCAAGGGCACCAATTCCAGTAACTGTCGCACCTCCACTTTCTCCACCTACAGATACGCATCCTGCACTTCGACCACGACTACTTGTCCATGAGTTAGGAAGAGTAGTCAAGGATGATACGAAGAGAGATTCTGGTCTTGCGCCCACCACCACCAGTACAATCACTCGAGATCGCGAAGGATCTATCAACACCGTCGATAATTATAATGATAATAATGTCTTGGGGATCAATATAAACTTTGATTCGAAAGTGGCCATGGCAAATACAAGTCCCACTTCACAAACTCAATCGAGCCATGTGCAATCACCCACTTGGCCCAAACCTCCAACTTTTATGAAGAATAGTTCTGGTTTTGGTTTTGGTCCTGGTCTTGGTCCTGGTCTTGGTCCTGGTCTTGGTCTTGGTACTGGTAATTCAACGGACATTCCAGAGGAGGATTTCTCACCTATCACAATTCCCATACCAAGTGAAAGTTTATTAGAGGACGATTTTATGCAATCAATGTCCTTTTCGAAAAGAGGTAGTATGATGTTGGGCGGAAAGGCAGTAAATGATCAAGCACGCACAAATGCGACGCGAAGGTGGGTGGAATGATAGCCCCGTAGTGTACCAGCTTATTGTGTGCTGACGAGAGACATTAATGATTAGACAACCTAGCTTTTCTATGTTAGCCACAACGTCCCCTTCGATCAAAGTTCTATCGGACGATTTGGAAATGGAGTCGCAAAAGGTCAGATCTATGTACGAGTCGGGGTCGGGGTTTGACTGGCGCGATGGGAAAGACGACACAATTGATAATCGTTTAACGGTGGTGGGAGGGGAATCGATACCGGAAAGACCTGTGACGTGAGTGTGGAACTGCTTACTGATAAATGCGCTCTCCACTAATTATTTTTAGGGCAAACAGTTACTTGACTCCGAATGGCATAGGCGTACCACAACGATCCTCGAGCGCATTATCAAACAGAAGGCCTGCTGAACTAGCTGGGGGAATCGAAGATTGGGAAGATGTGAATGGAAAAGATGTCGATAGATATGGCTTCATTAATAGCCAAAGAACTACCTCTAGACCTGGCACACCAGAACCAAAACCACCACAACGCGTTTCGACCGTACTTCAATTAGCCTCGCAGGCACCACGAAGGAAGCGAACGTTTGGTCGATCACCTTCTACTGCGACTTCACAGAAGGGTTTTAAACGTACCCCTAGTCGGAAGGTTTCTGCTAAATCAGTTAACAAGACAACACAGGGGGATAATGCGTCAATACGGAGTTCGCGAAGCTCTCAACTACGAGCAGCCGCCAATTTATTACCAGGAAACAAAGATAGAAGATGGATGGATGAGGCCGGCGACATGCTGACTCTACCTCCTGGACTGGCAGATATTGCTGAAGAAGCGGAAGGGGGTAGAGGTATGGAATTAATGAAGAAGAAAGAATCGGAGCGAACCGAGAAATGGAGAAGAATGGCGAAGATAATCAAGGGCAAGGATGGAGAAGGGATGGATTTCGAATTCGATACGAAAAGTTCCAAATTAATAGAGCGAACTTGGAAAGGGATACCGGATCGTTGGCGTTCTGCGGCATGGTATTCATTTCTTGCTACTTCAGCGAAGAAGAGGAAAGACAGTGCGCAAGAGGGAGATATAATTCAAGCTTTCCATGTGCTGCAGGATCAAAGTTCGGCAGACGATGTTCAGATTGATCTTGATGTTCCTCGAACAATCAACAGTCACATCATGTTTAGACGAAGATATAGAGGAGGTCAGCGACTACTTTTTAGAGTCCTCCACGCGTTATCACTTTACTTTCCCACTACTGGATATGTTCAGGGTATGGCATCATTGGCCGCTACTCTTCTGTGTTATTACGACGAAGAGAAATGTTTTGTCATGCTAGTACGCATGTGGACTTTACGTGGCTTGGAGAAATTATACGAGCCAGGCTTTCCAGGTTTGATGGCAGCTTTAGATGAATTCTCAACCAAGTGGCTAGATAATGGAGAGGTGTCGGCTAAGCTAGTAAGTAGTCCATACCTTGATTCACTATCATAATACTGACTCTGATAGAACGAGCTCTGCATTGAACCCACCGCCTACGGCACTCGATGGTACCTCACTCTCTTCAACTATTCCATTCCCTTTCCAGCTCAACTTCGTGTGTGGGACGTCTTTATGCTTCTAGGAGATGAAGATCAATCATTACCCTACAACAAAGATCGTCCATTTGCCGGAGGTTTAGATGTTATTCATGCTACCAGCGCTGCATTGATAGACGGTACAAGAGATATATTACTCGATAGTGATTTCGAAAACTCGATGAAAGTTCTCACGAGCTGGATCCCAGTCAAGGATGAGGAATTATTGATGAAAGTTACGAAAGCGGAGTGGAAGTTGCATCGAGGGAAGAAGAGGAGTTGAGTTGAGCTTTTATTTCAGCGCCAGAGGAGAAAAGATAGAAGATAAAAGATACCCCGAATCATCTTATCAAATCGACACCACATAGTCATACATCTCACCAATGTACGGCCGACACGACGAATCTTTTCCTTTGTTTTGATGCCATAATGTTTGGGTCGGCCACCTATTTTTGCGCACTTTTGCTTTGCTGCTTTTTTTTACTGCACTATACCATATATGCAAGGGGTGGGATTTGTATTATGCTTTTTTAATCTATTGGCTTTCTTCTTTTATTGAGATGAAGGGAGAGAGGTTTAATTGTACATTTTAATTTTTTTCAAGAGATGGTATTGAGGGGAGTGCGCATGGATGGCTGTGAAAAGCGATGGTAATGGCTTTTTTTGCCTGAAGGTTCCTGAGTTGAAGGGGGACTATTAATTGGGATTGAAATTGGGGATTGTTGGATTGTATGGATGTGATGGATGTGATGGATGTGAAGGGAAGAGGGCCAGGGCAAGGGCTATGGAACGAGCGATGGGAATGGGAATGGGAATATTGGGGATTGGTTGATTGGTTGATTGGTTAATGGGTCTCTTGTTAGAGGGATGTGATGTAATGTTTACTTTGGGGTGAGAGGTTAAGAGGGGGAGAGGGGGAGAGGGGGGAATATGATGATTATTTGAGTGAAGTGGGGTGGGGTGGAGGGGGGTATCATCTGAATTGTGATGTGATGTGATGCAAGAGAGGAAGGAATTAAGGAATATAATAGGATAGGATAGGGTGGGAAGTGGAAGATGGGAGATGGGAGATGGGAGATGAGAGATAGAGATAGAGATAGAGATAGATGGTGAGGGTTGAACTTGAAGATGAGGAAGGAATAAAATCAAATACCATACTACTCGTATACCATGGTGGATAAGCTATAATTGTATTATATTGTATTGTATTGTATTGTATTGTATTGTATTGTATAGTTCTGTATTACAATTACAATTACAATTACAAAATTTAAAAGTCAAAAATACAAAAGTCAAGAATACAAAGATGGAAATGGAAATGGAAATGGAAATGTAAAAGGAGAGGAATAGGAAAAGCAGAAGTACAAGTAAAAGTAGAAATAAAAGTAAAAAGAAAATACTCCGAGTATATTACATTGTATTGTATTGTATTAAACTGATTTTCCACTTCTACAAATACTCGTAGAATGAGTCCCTTCTTCCCTTCTTCCCTTTTTCATTATATATATATGTTTATATACCTATATATATATCTATCTCACTCCCTCTTCTCATATCTCTCACACCTCCCTACCTCCCTCCTCATCTCACACCTCTCTCTCCTCCTCTCATTCTTTCCCCTTGTACTCGTATATCAAATCAAATCAAATCACACCCGTATACCCCAAACACAAACTTCAAACAATACAAATAAGTAAACCAACCCAAAGAACAAAAATCGGATTAGCAATTTTCTCTTTTTCTCTTTCTCTTTTTTTTTCTCGCTTTTTGTTCAATTTCTCCCCTGTTCTCTTCTCTTTTCCTCTTTTCCTCTCCTACACTCCTACACTCCCTTCTTCTAAACTTTTCTCTATCCTCTCTTCCCAAATCTCTCTTCCTCTTCTCCCTCCCTACCTACCAATCCACCAATCCACCAATCCACCAATCCACATACCAATCTATCTTTCAACCTTCCATCTAAATTTCTATCCCTCCCATCTCTCTCCCTCCCCTTCCCTCTTCTCTCTCCTCCCCTCTTCTCCTTCCCCCTCTCTCCCTTCTCTCCCTTCTCTCCCCTCTCTCCTCCCCTCTACTCTCCCCCCACCAATCCTTCTTTCAAACCTCAACCTCCAATCTCAACCTCCAACCTCCCCTCCTCCCCTCTTTTCCTCCTCTCCTTCTCCCCCTCCCCCCACCTATCCTAGCCCCAATCCCCAATCCCCAATCCCCAATCTCCAATCTCCAATCCCCAATCCCCAATCCCCAATCTCCAATTTCAATCTCCTACCTCCACTCTAATCTCCATTTTAGAGCCCAATATTCCTCCAACAATGATTTTCAACATCGTAATACAATGCAACAAACCAATTTCATGCTCGAGTGCTACAGTACACTAATATACGAGTACACTAATAATGAATATACAACTTCATTTCAACTTCAATACTCCATCCGGATCGGAATTTAACACTTATGCCATTACTCTGAACTGCTAATAATATCATATGTACGTACCTGCTTGTAAAACATGCTATGCTAACCCTATTCAATATTCATTCCCGATACCCGATACCCTGCCAGCTCCCATTCCAAACCAAACTCAAACCCAATTCCATGTCCATGTCCATATGTAATACGTATCCTTCCTCATCATATCTCATATCAATATACAATTTGCCCATCCTAGCTCCATCCATCAACTAGAGATACCCTATACACCTAATCATGCAGAACAACCTACCATTCATCCCAATTCACCACCCCACCTCATCCAAACCCATCCTCCTACCTATTCCCGCTCCATTATTTCCCAACAATAAAACCAACATCATCACCACAACTCACAAACCGGTTCTTTCTCCTTACAACTGAAAGCCTCCTTAAATTCCCTACTATTAGCCATTGTCCCCAAGACTCTCGCCCACTTCGGTGCATGAGGATCCGTGTAAAGGCGATTTATAGCCGTCTCTTTGGTAGTTTTTCCACACCACCAATTTGCATAACTGACAAAGAACAATTGATCTTGAGTGAAGTGCTCAGATAATCCTGGTAGGTTCTCATTCTTATCATTACTTTCGCCTTGACGCTTTTTCCATGCAGCAAAAGAGGCGGATAATCCACCTGCATCGGCAATATTTTCACCCAGTGTGAGTTTGCCATTGACGTAGAGAGGTTCGCCATCTGGGCCGGGAATACTGTAGTTGCCATACTGTTCTATGAAGCATTGGGCGCGTTCCTTGAAGGCGGCTACGGTCGATGGCGTCCACCAATCGGTATAGTTGCCATTTTGATCATAATGACGACCCGTAGAATCAAATGCGTGGGATAGTTCGTGGCCGGAAACAGCACCAAAGGCACCATAGCTCAGATATTGAGGGACGGCTACGTCGAAAACTGGGAACTGCATAATACCAGCTGGAAAGACAATCTCGTTACCTGGTGGATTGTAATAGGCGTTCACGGTTGGTACCGTCATACCCCATTCATCTCTATCGACTGGTCTCCCCAAACTTGACCATTCACGGGCAACATCAAATCGTCTCATGTTCAAGGAATTCTGGAAGTAAGATGATTCCGATACCTTGACAGATTGATAATAATTGTGAAGGGATGGAGGATCCATAATGTCCGGACTCTGTTTTGATGATTAGCATACAATACCAATCCCATAGTCTTGGATATTGACATACCTTTGTAGGATATCCGACCTTTTGAACGATTTTGTGCACTTTCGCAATGCCTAAATCGATGACACTTGAGTCCATCCAAGTAGTTGCTTTAAGCTTTTCGATGAACATCTCTTTGATATCAGAGACAATTTGATTTCCAAAGTCCTTGGCCTCAGCAGAGAAAGCCTTTTCCACGAAGAATCGACTCAGAATCCAGCCGAGTCCATCATCGACATGCGACACGCAAGTTCTCCAACGTTCAGGTTGGGAATCTGGGGCTTTTCCTTGAAGTTCATTGATGAACTGTCGATATGGCTTTAGCTCATCTGCTTCGATATCCGGATAGAACGCCTGGATGAGTTTCCATATAAAATATGTCTGTAAGGTCTCTTTCGGAGTAGTGTCCAGTATGTCTGATAAAGCATGCATATAATGTGGTGATGCAATAATCAAACGATCAAGCTGAACATCTGCAGGGGCCAAGCGACGAATTAATTTTGATAAATGGATTTGTGGGATTAGCTTGTCAGCCTCATCGAGGGACATTGGGTTGTAGTATTTCGTGACGTCGTCCCTATCCTCATTATCTGGAGAGGCGGCTGCCAACTTCTTCTCAAGCACAACTACGTTACGAGCAAGATCCGTAGCTTTGTCTTGTGCAGCGATGTTCTCACGATGGAGACCCCTACCATTACTCCCAAGTGAGTGTTTTGTGGAGTTTTGATGCAGTGGCAGAAACTTCGGAATGACTTGTGCAATTACTTGGGTATAATCCTTCACCACCTTTTCATTGTTGTAATATTCCTTCGACGGGAGACCAAGACTGTATGGTGGTGATACCTGTATGACAACTGTGTCGGGGTCCTTATCATCCGGTCCAGTACCAGATGATATAAGTGCCGAAGACCCCAATCTTGCCACATATTCTATAGTATCTGTAAGACTACCGTGATCCTCTGACTTTAGAAGTGAGTGTTGCAAATCATCTATCGGTACTGAAAACATATCTGTCACTTGGTGGGTTAACTTTTGCAATGGGGCAATTCCGACATTCTTAATCTCCGTTTCGTTCATACATGCGTCGTAGCATGCTGTAAGCTTATCAAAATTCTCTTCGTCCAGGTCAGCAGGAGCTGATGATAGCATGGCTGGAGAGAAGCTCGAGTGCTATCATACAATTAGCTATATTGGACAACCGAGAGACAGAAAATACTAACTCTAGACTCTTTGGGATATTCTCCCTCGAGTATATGCCTCAGTAAAGTTTGTGAATTCTCACTCATGATTGTTCCTGTAAAGGCATCTCCTTGATCGGGTCTCAAATCATGGTGATCTCTCCACCCCCCGCAAACCAATTCCTCGAAATTCGAGCACGCATCAAGCTCTTGATATTTGGGAGATAGGTTGTATAAAATCTCGGAGGCAGCATGTACGCATGCTGGGGAATCGCACGTACTTTGCTGAAGAATTCGCTTTTTCGATGAGAAAACTAGGTATTGATGTGAAAGTCAGTGGTCTGTATCTCATCCGGGAATAACTTTTTACAACGAGGAAGAACCTGGGCACACTTTTCAATGTTGGAATTGGGTAAGGATGATTAAGCAGTGAAGGGAGGAATAATAAAGATATCCATACCGGTGAAAACCAGGCAAGCGACAACGATCAAAATCGTAAGCAACAAGGCCCCTAGGACTCTAGCAGTGCTTTGAACAAACCATCTCCAGTTCGTTTTCTGACTGTTGATTGTCCGAGAGTTGGAAGTAGAATAAGAGTCTTCAGAGCCGCTACTGGCTTCCTTTCGAAGAAGTGGCGCCTCCTCGGAGTCCACATCGTCTACTTGTGTCAATGAGGGCGCGCACTTATTTGGTACTCGATCTGTTGCACCCAGACTCCCTTTTCTCTGCAACTTCTTACAAGCACCCATATCGTATAGACGCGTCGATACGGTGGTCAAAAACCCAGCTAGAGGGATGACAAAATTTGCAAAAGTATTCTTGCCTTTAGTTGTCGCTCGTATTCTGAAGCGTAGGGCTGATTGATGAACAAGACCTGGCGAACGGGATCTTGATCTTGATGTTGATCTGCTTCTTGATATGTTTTTTGACCGCTTTCTTAATCTGCGTCTTGATCCCTTAACAATTATCTTCTGCTGCCTGTTCGCCGCCAGATTGTCCGAGACTATTTAGATGAATAACAAGCCAAAAAAGGGATCCAAAACTGTCCAAAAAAGAAGGTCAGAAGGTTGAGTGTTGAATGTGTTGGAAGAGTGTTTACGATATGGAATGGAATGGCTGGGGAAAGGGAAAGAAAGCGGGGAGAGCTTCTTTCCTCATTGGGACATTGACATTGACACAGACAGCTGATGAAAGACCCGGGCCGGGAGATAGATAGATCCGTGTGTGAAACCTTGGCAAAACATGCAATTCTCATTTCTCGTCTTCGTTTACATCTACCTACCTACCTACCTATCTTCATGATCAATGATGTTTGAGAAGCATTTGAAACAATAAGGATTCGAATTTCATTCCATCAGATAAATGGACCCAGAACTCCTTTTCGAATAGACAAAATTCATTGATACCGGTACTCAATTTCTTCTTGAGCCGTTACTTGTGACCGCTAAGTCGGAGCGCCGGTTATCCCGGCCGAGAGACGTTTTTGTGACCCGGAACCCGAACCCGAAAAGGTTGATTGATCAAGCAAGGCATTGACTCCAAAATCCGGAGGGATTGTATTTAAGTCGTTGTTATAATCTGGTTGGGAAAATTATAAGTTATATACTTAAGCTATTACTCGAGTAGATGTACTGTTTAAGTTTAAGTATGCTGTTGAGTATACTGTTGATACAATGTAGCTAATTAACAAAGCGTTCAATATACCGTTATCATTAATATAAATAGTTTTACACAGCATTCAAATCGGGATTTGTTCTCATATAATTCTAATATATCCATTTGTATCTCTCAAGGAAGACCTGGATATAATCGAAGTTTATTTAGCAGCCTTATAGTTTTGGAATTAGATACGAATGAATACTTGAGATATATACCTAGGTACCTTCTCCTGTTCTAACTCCTCATCCTTCTAATCCAATCCAATTCAATCCTAATCACCCAATCCAATCCAATCCAATCCACCAATCAATCCAACCAGCCTCTTATCCCCTCCTATCCCTCCTAACCCATGCATAATCTTTCACAATCCCACACAACTTTATACAACACAATACAACAACCCTCACAAAGCAGCCCTCCCATCAATTTTCAGGGGTCACAACACGATAAGTTCAAGTAAGACAATATGAAGTCATCATACATTTCCCTTTCGTCACAACCCGTTTCCAGGGGTCCTTTTATATTAATCTCACTTGGAATAGTATCTTTTGAAGTTTGAACCCCGTTGTTGTTGTTGTTGTTGTTGTTTCTTCTTTCTTTTTTCTTCTATAGTAAGGTTTAGTTATACAGTAGTAGAACTTTCTAATTCTTATATTCAAGTAGATGTTGAATTGTATTGTGGTACTGTAGTATTTGCAATTAGATGGTACTATATTCTCGAAAGATTGAAGATGGGAAAGCTTGTTCAACAGTGTACCGAGGCTAGTAGCTAGTAGGTAATCTGTTCTCAAGAGAAACAATACAATAGAGAGATCTTTGATAGAAAATCTTTGAATACCTACAGTTCGATCCTTATTACACAGTACCGATCCCTATCTATTGTATATAACTATACCTAGTATATTAATAATATAGTAACTTGAAAACTGGTGCTGATATCCATTCAAACTCAATGGCCTGCCTTATAAGAGTCAAGACTCTCTTTATACTGGTATGCCAGTAGTGTGATAGATCATACTCGAATATACCATATCATTCATCCTATTCATTCATCCATATAGAATTTTACTATTATATAGGTATACACAAATCTACCCATTATTCTTTTCACTCCCTATTATGTTCTTTCGTTCCGGACTTGCTCCTTTGGGTCATATCGATGTGTTTGTTACCTACGGTAACTGGCATGATTGCTATACGGAGTAATATTGCCGTCACTACACAGGCTTGGCATATATATATATATGCGTTTTTGATAGGTTTTATTTATTACTCTGTAGAAGTTGAAGAATATGAAGGAAGGGGGGTAAGAGAGTAGTGTGGGCTGGCTGCTGTTAGGAATTGTCGAAATGGTGAGGTTATACAATGGAAAAGGTATAAATGGAACTAACTACAGATCTCTCTAGTATTGATAGAATAGAGACTTTATCAGGTCTGTTTATATAAAATGACAATACTCACTCAATACTCACTCAATACTCACTCAATACTCGAGTAGATTGATTCAAATAGGAAACTAGTTAATAATCCCAAGAAACTTCAACCAAAGAAATAACAAGAGAACTTCACACTCACTGACAATTTTGCGCATAACATAGGTATATAAACAAACTACCTAGTAAGTTACCTTAGTCTTACAATTTCCCAAGTCTAAAAGAGCCTTTAGAAGATCTAGATGCAATGCTCATACCCATTGCGTGTCCACAGTCTCCGTCTTTTTGTTCCTTTTTGACATTTTTAACTGTCTCGTGTGCTCTCATGTGCAAGAATTTTGTGGGTTTCCTGCAACCCAGGTATAAGAAAAAAAACCCAACCAAATATTGAAATAATGGGTTTATTCCTGATATGTCCTTTTTTGTTTTATCAGCTTTCTCACCAGTTTCCCATCAGTCCTTTTTTTGCCTTTTCCCTTTACCTTCTTATTACTTTAGTCCGGGCTATACTACCGGTACTTAGTACTATACTACTCAAGACTTAAGTGTATACCGTATATTTACAAATGAATCCATCCATACAACCTTGTTTATAACTTATTAATTACATTGATCTATTTACCTAGTTAGCTAATTAGCTAATTAGTTAGTACTGGGACATTACTAGTATAGTATCCCCTTATACCGTATGCGCCCGAGAAAAGAGATGATTTCATCTATATGTATATACTACTTTATACTTAAAATAGATTTGCTCTGATTATTTTTTATTAATTCTTTATTCTTGAAGTATCCATACCTACTTAGAGAAACAGAGAACAGAGAAATATATAGAGAAATAACATTATGGGATCATATAATTGATTTAACATTTTATCGTTTGTAGTCTATTTTGGTTGCCGGATTGATTGATTGCCTTAACCTTACAGTACAATAAAAAACTGCCCTCTACGTCATTTCCGATCCCCGACTAAAGGCTTTCACCTTCGCACTACATATCAATAAAAACAAATCAAAAACCCCAAAATCAACAATAAACGACCAAAAATCACCACGAATGAAGAATCTTTCCACTGCAATTTCATTAGCGATCGCTATAATCTTTTGTCTGGGGTCAAAATAGCGCCAGAGGTTTGCAGGAGGGTCTGCAAGGGAGGACGGCATGCCACCTTTAGATTCTCCAGTTGACAAACCGTCCTCCTCAACACCGAAGAAAAGTTCTGAATTGCGACCATCTAGTAGCGATGCCAAAATTGACAACTTATCCACCCATTTAGTATCATCGAGTAATCATGGAGTAAAGGGAAGGAGGTCATCAATCTCGAAGGCGAAGGACTCGATACCGGATTCCCCTATCGGTGCAAAAGCACCCTCGATATCCAGCGACATGGAAATAGCTAGTAACAATGAGGCTCAGATCATGACATCGTCTAGTGTTCATAAACCCAAAAACGAGCATACAGAAGAATTAAAGATTTCACTTCCCGGCCGGAGACAAAGCTTACCCCCAGGAAGGATACCATTGCACGAGCAGGCCGAGGAGGTGGAGCGACTTCGAGCTATGAATGCGCAAATGCAGTTAAATCAACATAGAGAGAGACTGTCTAAACAACTAGATGATAGGGACGCAGTTCAAGGAAACACGGCGCTTACTAGGATTGGTGGTAAGGCTCGAGTATCCCCCATTCATGAAGAAATGATATCACCATCGCTAGAAGCAGCATTTGCTAGTCCGCTGCCAACTGGTATGGAAACAGCGTCGACCGAGTCTGCTAAGACCATACGAGGAGGTGAAACACCAGCCGCGCTACAAGCAAAAACTCCATCATATCCATTCCCATCCATGCGAACTCCGAGGCAGCTTAGCTACAATGGCCACCGCCCTTTCACCGCACTTTCACCAACAGTAAATCCAACAAACTTTGCAGGTGGCTCTTTTTATGAAGGACCACATGATCGAGTTCTATCAGGACCGGTAACTCCAACATCGGGCCTTGATTTTCAGCCAGCAGGTTCACACATGTCAAGGGATGATTCAAATTCTGAAACACCCAATCTCTATGATCTTAGTCTCATGCTGTCTGCCGAACCTGGCCTTGATCCATGGTGGTCAACTGTTGTAGATATAATGAGAGATGTCTACAAGGCTGATAGAGTAACTCTATCTGTGCCTGCAGATACGACCGACATTGAGAATGTTCCATGGGGCCAGAAAGCAACATTCAATGCAGCAGAAGAGGATGTATTAAGTTTGACCTACTTACCTCGAGGCAGCAGTCTCATACCCAGCAGCAGTGGTGATACACTCGAGACTTCGGCTTCCGAAGGATATGCATCTGGAGACTCACCGCCAGCGCCCATAATGACTCGACCTGGTCTTACCAGTAGACACTCTTTCACTAGCTATGAAGCAACAAAGAGGGATCCTACATCGTTTTCCGAAACTGGGAGAAATATTGCTGCCCGACCTCCACCTCTCACTCGTGCAAAAAGCTACCTTTCTGCTCGCCATGATCAACCACCACGAACTGCCACACTTCAAAATGCACAACTCAGTTTGCAAGCACTGGAAGACCACATAGCTTTTGAGGAGGGGAAGCCTGCTGCGAGTTGGGAAAATATTGACCAATCAAACAGAGATGTGCAAGGACGTGTATTTTCGGTATTGCAAGCTTTAGACTATGAAGCTGATCCATTGATCGATAGCAGTGGTGTGTTGCGAGTTTTGGAGAGAGAAAGAGTTGTTGCTTTGACACGAGATTATCCATACTTGGATGACCCAGCAGAAGAAGATAAAGCTGCCGAAAGCATGCCGCCGACACAAGGTTCAAAAATAGAGTCTCTTGGACGACCGAAAAAAATCAAAGCACCAGAATTGGGTGGACGAACTCAATCTCTTTTTGGAAGCAAACCTAGTAAACGACCAAGCCTAAGCCTTCGTCATCAAACCAGTGAAAGAGGAAAAGGTATGCATACAGAAGGGACAGCAGAACCTCCGTTATCCATTTCGAGATATGAAGAATACGAACAAACTCCACAATCACCATGGTCACAATCCCCAGCTCCTTCCCCGGCTGTGAGAGTAGAGACAACGGAGAATCCTTTCTTTGCGAATTCGGCAGTGGATGAAGAAACTTTTAACCCAAATCGCACACCACAAGATTATTCTAAAATGCAACAAGTTGAAGCTATTGGAGTCGATAGATCTTGGACTGTTCTACATATTCCCTTGACTCATCCGTTACTTTCCAAGCCAGTTCAATCATTTCGGTTAGATGCCGCCGCAATGGAATCAAAGTCTGCTGGTCGTGGCAGAGGCATTGATCAACTACCAAAATACTCTGACCCTTCAAAAGGACAAGGGGCAGAGCCAGTCAGAGAGAAGCGAGCCCCAATTGCAATACTCTCGATACTCAGCCCTGTTATTCCTTATCCGTCTGTCCTCCGACACTCTTTAGAACATCTCTCGCCACATATGGCTACATCATTCTCCCTCTGTCGACATTATTCCAACCTTGAGACCGAGGTCGCAGGTCTATCTCGAAAACGTCCTCACACTACTGGATTTGGTGCCATTGCTCCCGGAGGTCGACATACTCATAGTCAACCCGCAGCTGCGAGTGGTAACTTGTCGTATCCCTCAGCCGAGGAAGGATTGCGCCATCATTCAGGAGGAAGCATCACAAGTCCGAGTGATTATTCTGGAGTATCTCGGAGTGCCAATGCATCCCCAGGCGGTACACCAGCATGGGATCCCAGCAGTGTGGGTCTTACAATGGACAGGAAATCTAGCGGTGAAAGCCCCGGATATGTAGCAGCTGAGAGCTATTTCAGCTCAAAGTCAAGGCCTGGTGTGACTCGTATGGATACGGGAGGAAGTAGCATAGCAGGTGTTCGTCGTTCATCGAAAGAGAATTCGCCTGCCGATGCCCGGTCCGTACCACGATTTCCAACAGACGATCGATACTCTGGACCAAATACTCCTTTCTTCGACAGTGTTGAAAATGCGAATAAGAGTAAAACTGATGCAGAAGATTCCCAAGCCTCAAGTACCTCGTCTGGGCAAGAAAGCCGTACCAATAAATCGTCTAAAGAGTCGCTGATTGAGACTTCAAAATTCCGTGAACCCAGTCCTCCACGTCAAAATCCTCATGATTCGCCGAGACGGCAGGCTATAAGAGGTGCTTCTTTTGGCGCTGGCAAGCCTGATCGTCAGCACACGCAACTACACTCCTACGGTGCGGACTTTGGTGCGACGTTCCAGTCCTTACCGATAGCATCAGCTTCATCGATAAAAGCCCCCTTCATCTCCAAACCTTCGCGTCCCGGATCGTTAACTGTACCTACTGATATGCCACCGCCTTCTGATCGGTTGAAAGGTTTGATGTTGGATTCATTACCTGCACATGTATTCGTCGCACTGCCGCAGACGGGTGAAATAGTATGGGTGAACAGCCGATATCTTACATATCGCGGCCAAACCGTTTCCGAGTTATATCAGGACCCATGGGGTAGCATTCACCCTGACGAAAGAGACGAATACCTGAAAGCCTGGACCCATGCGGTGAAGACGGGTGAGCAATTCTCTCTGCAAGTGCGTATCAAGCGCTTTGACGGAACTTATCGTTGGTTTTACACTCGTGCTGTAGGTTCTCGGGATATCAGAGGTGTAATCGTTCAATGGTACGGCTCTCACATGGATATCCACGACCAGCACATTGCAGAAGTGAAAGCTGCTCGACAAGAGGAAATAGAAGCATCGGAAGCTAAGCATCGACAATTGGCGAATCTGATACCACAGATTATTTTCGCGGCAACAGAAGACGAGGGAGTAACCTTTGCAAACGAACAATGGCTTTCTTATACCGGTCAAGACTTTAATGATGCCTTGGGCCTTGGTTTTATGGATTATGTACACCCCGAGGATCTTGCAAAATGCCAAATACCCACCGGCAGACCACCGACCCCTTCGACTCGGCCAAAGAAGCCTGCCGAGCCGGTAAGAAACCCATCTCAGGCATCTTCGGGTGGTAAATCGGGGCAGTCATCGGACCCCTCTGAAGCGCCAACCGAAAAGACAGTGAAAGGAGTCCACCAGACCTTATCAAGAAACAATAGCTCAAGCAGCAGTTCTGTATATGAATTTGCCACAGCAGATTTGTCCGAGTTGGCGAGAACTGGGGTCATCAAAATCGCCACAGATGGTAACGGGAGACTTTCCTACACCACTGAAGTCCGATTGAGATCGAAGACTGGAGAGTATCGTTGGCATCTTGTACGGTGTGTGGAAGTTGACAACTTTAACCTTGGAAGTGGAGACGGCTCCTGGTTCGGTGCTTGCACGGACATCAACGACCATAAATTGCTGGAAACAAAGCTCAAAGAAGCTATGGAATCTAAGAGTAAGTTCTTAAGCAACATGTCTCACGAAATCCGAACACCGTTGATAGGCATTTCTGGCATGGTAAGCTTTCTTCAAGATACTATTCTCAACGACGAACAGCTTGATTACACAAATACAATTTCAACCAGTGCCAGCAGCTTACTCAACATCATCAACGACATTCTGGATCTTTCCAAGGTGGATGCAGGCATGATGAAACTGTCATACGAGTGGTTTCACACACGATCTCTGGTCGAGGAAGTCAATGAAATGGTGTCCACCATGGCCATCACCAAAAGGCTGGAACTCAACTATATAGTTGACGTTGATGTTCCTGAAATGGTCAAAGGAGACAAGTTTCGCATTCGTCAAGTATTACTCAACGTTATCGGCAATGCAATTAAATTCACAACTGTTGGAGAAGTATTCACTAGATGCAGGGTATACACGGAGGACGATTCACCCCCACTAGTCAATGAAATCATGCTAGAGTACTCTATTGTGGATACTGGAAGAGGCTTCACCAAAGAGGAGGCTGATCTCATTTTCAAACCTTTCAGTCAAATTGATGGGAGCAGTACAAGACAGCATGGTGGAAGTGGCCTGGGGTTGGTGATCTCGAGACAGCTGGTTCAACTCCACGATGGCAAGATGCAGGGAACTGCGATACCTGGTAAAGGCTCTACCTTCACATTCACTGCCAGGTTTGGATTACCGACTCCGGAAGATCACCCAGAACCACTTACCACACCTCAACTGAGCAAAGTACCGTCATCTTCATCCTCAGTTTCAGTTTCCACCAATATGTCCACGCAATTCAGTGCTAAACAAGCTGCCAGTAACCCGCCCCTGGCTACCAGAATGTTACACTCACCTGCCGTCTTGACGGAGAGTCCGAAGACCGAGTCAAGTGCCGGCTCGCCAGCTGTAGTCTCGTCCGGGAGCTCAGAGCCATCTTTCTCCTCTGGTCGAACTCGCCTCACAGACAGATCCTCAGGATCTTCTCTTGTTCAGAGCCTGACCCATTTTGGCGAGGTTGCCCGAACAGTTACTCCGGAAAAAATGAAGTTAGAACTTCCTGATAAGCACTCTTCATTGCCCTCACCACCGCTTGAGCCTACTCCTCCACCCGCTGCTGCAAATATTGCGTCGACTCATTCAGACTCACATACCGCACGACATATCAGTGGCTCCTTGCCAGACTTGAAGCATTTCCGACCCCTGATGTACTCAATACTACTCATTTGTCCGCAAACCCACAGTCGCGAGGCGACGAGGCAGCATATTGAGATCACTCTACCAAAGGACATCCCTCATCAAATAACTCCACTTGCAAGTGTTGAGGAGGCTCGAAGTCTTATCAGCGGAGATGATTCTGTCAATTTTACTCATATTGTCTTGAACCTTGGGTCTGCCGAGGAGATAGTGCAATTGATCGACCAATTAATCATATCGGTGATGTTACCTCAGACTTCGATCGTTGTTTTATCAGATCCAGTACAGCGACAAGAAGTGATCAAGATGGCTCATGCATACGACTACGACCGGATGGCTAAGGATAATCGTCTCACGTTCATCTACAAACCTGTCAAGCCGTCAAGATTTGCTGTGATTTTTGATCCGGATAAAGAAAGGGATTTGAGTACTGACCGCAATCGTTCAAGCGCCCAGCAACATGTTGCAAGTCAAAAACAACATTATCTTGATGTTGGCCAGCGTCTTGGCAACAAAGGACTCAAGATCCTTTTGGTAGAGGACAATTTAGTAAACCAGAAAGTTCTTTTAAAGTTCCTGAGTAAGGTGGGTATTGCAGTTGAATTAGCGATGGATGGAGTCGAATGCACAGAAAAAGTGTTTAGTAAACCTCATGGATTCTATTCTTTGATCTTGGTATGTTTTTCTCATGCTATTCTCATACCCTCCCTGTTGTTAATCATTGTATAATTAGTGCGATCTCCACATGCCTCGAAAGGACGGCTACCAAACCTGTCGCGAAATCCGCGAGTGGGAAGAACATAATTCCAATGCAAAAATGCCAATAATCGCCCTCTCGGCAAATGTCATGGCTGATGTGTTGGAGAAATGCATCCAGGCGGGCTTCAATAGCTATGTCACCAAACCGGTCGACTTCAAGGAATTGAGTAAAGCTATGAGCACACTGCTAGATGCAGATCCGACTAATCCGCTCATGGATCCGGGTGTTTTAATGAAGGCGCCGGTTGGGAATTGAATATTTCGGAGATTTGTTATGAATGTTACTTCTTGTTACTAATACTCCATGGGTGCATTACATGGCTTGGCGACTTTTTTTTTTTTTTTTTTTTTTTTCTTCCCTCTACCTTGTTTGATTTGTAATGATTTCGGAAAGGAAAGGAAAGGATACGAAATGAAGCGAAACGAAATCTTAAGAGGTATCGTCGTGTGTGGATGTGAGGTGAGGTGAGAGGCTTACTACATTTTTTGGTTGAAGCTCTGGGTGTGGGTGTGGGTATGGGTTTGTGTAGAGGAAGAGGAATGGATGGGGATGGGGATGAATTGAAATGGAATGGAATGGGGTGGAATGGATGTAAATTATGGATAAATGAACGAATGAATCAATGGAATGAGTGGTTGGCTTTTGAGAGCGTTGATTTTATATGATATGATTTGATGTGATGTGATTTGATTGTGTAGATTTGTTGTGTAGATGTGTTGTGTTAGGTCACTAAGGTGGGAATACTGAGGGGAGAGGAGAGGAGGGAAGGGGGATCATATGTATGGAGGTAGTAAGTAGAGGGGACCTCCTGGATCAGGTCACAAGTCACAGGTAGGTCACAGGCAGGCGTGATGGGTAATGGGTAATGCGAGTACTGAGTAGAGTAATATTATTAAATAAAATAAAGAAAGCTGAAATATTGGATGTTGGATGGGGGATGGTAAATGGTAAGGGAAAAGAGGGGTAGTAGAGAGTGAGTGAAAAGAGGGGTAGTAGAGAGTGAGTGGAATGAGGGGTAGTAGAGAGTGAGTGAATGGTTGATGTTGATGCTGATGTTGATATTATAGATGGATGTGGAGGTGGAGGTGGAGGTGGAGAGAGTAAGGGAAAAGAGGGGTAGTAGAGAGTGAGTGAATGGTTAATATCGGTATTAATATTAACCTTAATGATTACCTAGATAAAACTTAAAAGATAGATAAATATATTATTCAATTGATTACTCGAGTACATTGGATTGATTTACTTTAGTTTAGTATTATGTTGTTCAGCAGAATTCCGATTTAAGAGTCAGAACTTGTTACGGCGGTTTGTACCTGTACTAGTATAGCACGTTTTTAGGGGTTTTTGGTGCGGGATGGGATGGGATGTCGGGTAAGGCTAGATAGAGCCTAGAGAAAGTTTAGTTTGTGAGGCTAGAGTAGAGGGAGGGTAGAGTAGCTCAGAGAGTGAGAGAGAGGGAGAGAGAGAGTGAGAGTTAGATAAAGTTAGGGCTTGATGGATGGGATGGATGGGATGGATGATGAAGTTTGATGATAATGTTGAATTATGAATTATGTTGAACTTAGATGATGAGGAGTCAAGGTTGAGGCTAGATGTATTATTTACTGTACAATAATATTAACCTGATTCATAGAGAAAGTTTGTTTTTGAGAATATTGATGTTGTTGATTGGATTGCATTACACAACTTGGCATATACTATAACTCATGATTCTCAGCCCGGCTAAGCCGGCTCGCCTCATTATTGAATATGGGGAAATTTATTCAAATTTTTACGTAAAATTCTACGGGTTTGTTCCGTATGTTCCGTATGGAGTAAAAGGAGTCTGTGTTGATAATTTGATTTGATTTTGTTTGTGGGGAAGTAGAATATGATTGTTCGTTCTTTTGTATATAAAGTTATTACTATAACTTTATCTCTTAAGACTTTGTTGTAGTGATAATAATGTTTATCTATAACTATTGTTATAGTTACAGTAAGTAACATTTATTTATAGTACAGTAGAGTTATCGAAAATAATCAATTGATAGAATCTTGAAGAATCAAAACAAATACAATTCATTGTAATTAATCACGTGATAAATACAGGGCAGGGAACCAATCATTGTTTACCCTTTAAGCGACAATTCTTAAAGCTACCTAGCTTTAACCCAGCCAGTACCTTCTTAACTTAACTTATACTTATACGCGCTTCTTCCCGAAAAACAACAACAACTTGATTCCATCAACTTTTCAACGTACAACTTCAAAATTCATCTGCCATTACAAGCATTTGGAATCGCATACTTTTGATAACTTATTTCAATCATACAAATTTCACACATAAATACATTTCGTATTATCGCAATCCATTACTTTCACATAGTCGCAAGTCGCGCTATCACCACTTGACGATTTCTCAAGATGGCTGGAGCTCGCACACGCGCTAAAGGTGCTAGCCCAGGTGGCTTCAAATCACTTGATGATATTCCAAAACCTACACGCGGTAGGGGAAAGAGGGTCAAGACTGAACCTGTCGAACCTTCCATCGAGTCCGAGTCCGAGTCCGCCGCCAATAAATCGGAATCGCAAAAGGCTCAATCACCTCCTACAAATACTTCCAGAACAAATTCTCCCGAATCACACTCACCTTCACCTACACCGGTTGAATCGCGACTCGATTCACGCTCCACCTCTCCACCCAAAAACATAATTACATCAAATGACGCGTCTTCGGACAACGACGTAATTCACCAAGAGCAAGACGCAGAGCGCATTGCTCCTCTCGGACTCAACAAAAAGAGATCTAGAGTAGAAGAGCCATCTACCAATTCAAGTGATGGCACTACAGAAGGAAACGCGGAAGAAGTTCTTGAGCAGAGATCCACCAAACGCACCCGAATTCAGGATACCTCTACTGATGGTGTTGAGGCTGATGAATCGGCCGATCCTGAACCGGAAATTGAGAAGAAACCACTCGACCAACAACCTCCACTCGATCAACAATCTCCACTCGACCGACCTGATCGCGACCACACAAAGGGATGGCCCAACAAGAAGTCTGCGAACAAGACTCTCGGTCACAAGCAAGATACCCCTATCGATAATATCGAGGCTGATGAATCGGCCAATCCTGAACCGGAAATTGAGAAGAAACCACTCGACCAAGAATCTCCACTCACCCGACCTGGTCGCGACCATACAAAGAGATGGCCCAACAAGAAGTCTATGAACAAGACTCTCGGTCGCAAGCAAGATCCCATTGTCCTTAATCAGTGCAGCTCAGACGAAGCAGCTGAGACAGCGGTATCGCCTTCACAATCCCGATCAAAGTCTGCATCACAACAAAATACCACCCCTTCTCCGTATACTCCACAGAAACAGCAGGAACATTCCTCCCCTGAAGAAGATGAACACAAAGATGGTCCATCCACCATTAGTCATCCCGCTTCCAAACTCACTTCCCCCTCTCCAGACCTACGACCCGTCCCTCAAACCGAGGTTGTAAAGCCAGCACCTTTACTTGCTAAGATTGGTACTAATCCAGAACAGCGCATGAAAGCTGCATCAAACCGCTATATATTCCCAGCTAATTACATCGGGCTCACACCAGGCATGTCAAAGAGCGAGAGAATTCTTGAGTGGAGTATGCGAACACATTTTCCAGAACGAATGACCTCTCCAAGTAAGGGTAAAGAAGTCGTCAAGGAAGATGCCAAAGAGGTTTCCAAGGAGGTTACTAAAGGTTCCAGTGATGTATGTCCCAAAGTTCCAATCACCAACTCGTGCCATGATACTGACACGTTCAAGGTGGCTCATACTGAACGCAAAAAGAGAACCACTGTGGCTTCCTGTGAGAATCTTGCCAAATCCGATGTTCCCTCTTCAACGCGTCGATCTCCTCGGAATGGACTGGTATTAACGGATCCTTATTTAGTAGCAGTTAACAAAGCCTTCGGTAATCATAAATCTCAGTCAAAGGCAATGCCATCTATCGAACAGGTTACGGCATTCCTTAATGGCTACGATGCTCAACAACGTTCATATAATTCCGAAACGCAAATGGTTGCTCAGAAGCCCACCCTCCCTTTGCAATCAACAAAACCCAAACGCTCAGGATTTGTTGTTCCTGGTCGGGGAAGTGATGAAGATACTGACATGTCTGATGGGAATGAATCAGAAGTTATCGAGGAACCAAAAACACCTGAAGCACAGATCTCTCCAGAGCAAGATGCAAGCCCTCAAAGCAGCTGGTGGAAACCCTTCTCCACTGTTGCCACGATGCTTACGAGCCCATTCCGTAAACAATCCGCTGCTCCAGCCTCTCTTCCTCGCAACAAACTTGCCCCACCTCCAATCATCTTCAAGCAACCACCAACCACTCCTTCGGCAGTCCCTCTGAAGCGTATGTCAAAATCAGACCGCAAGCGCAACACTCGAAACAACGTTCAAGGTCGCCTCGGTGCTGGCTTTGAAACTGAACGTCGCCCACCCCACAAGGATGTTGAAAAAACACGACTCGAGCTGGCTGGCGTATATACTGCAGCCGAAATCCTGGCGCTTCACAAAGAACAGGATGAATGGGCTGCAAAGAACGGGAATAGAAGTCCCTCGATAGTAGCTAATCGAGATATTCATAAGGCTGCACGAGCATCCCAAAGAAGCGCTCATGCTGACCCTGTCAAGGAAGAAATTCAATCGTCTACACCTGCTAAAACAGGCGACAAACGTAATTTCAACTATATAGCAAAGACCCCTAGACAAAAACAACCCTGGAATGAATACCTCCGCCACATACAGGACGATTCTTCTGAGGAGGAGGATGAGGATGATCGAGATATTCATAAGGCTGCACGAGCATCTCAAAGAAGCGCCCATGCTGACCCTGTCAAGGAAGAAATTCAATCGTCTACACCTGCTAAAACAGGCGACAAACGTAATTTCAACTATATAGCAAAGACCCCTAGACAAAAACAACCCTGGAATGAATACCTCCGCCACATACAGGACGATTCTTCTGAGGAGGAGGATGAGGATGATCGAGATATTCATAAGGCTGCACAAAAAACCCCTAGCCGAGAACAACCCTGGAATGGATTTCTCCACCGCTTGTGGGAGGTTCCTTATTCTAAGGAGGAGGAGGATGAATTTGATGATGCCTATAGATCTAGATGGATTCGACGGAGAAATGGTCTCTACACTCGAGCGAACGCCACCGACAGACAATTGCGGGGTGAAAGAATTGCCCCTAACGATCCTCATTACACTGATTATTATCGTCATATTGACGCATTCGCAAAGCAAGACATCAGCAAGCCAGCAGGTGTTCAGAATCCTCTCAACTCCGCTCAGCTCCTTAAGCAGGCCCATGAGCGTGCTAATGGCGCTGGTGATATCCCACCCGAGAGCGAAAACGACTATGGATATGTCCTGGATGAGCGCCAGAAGAAAGTACTCTTTTATCCGGGAAGTCCTTACGATATGTTTAGTATCCGAGGTTCAATACTCACCGCAAATCATATTGCCAATCTGAAGGAAGGACTCCCTCTTCTTAACCCTCGCGATGAATTCGGAATTGCTATCAAGACACCCCAGTATGACAGCACTAAACCACCTCGGGATCAAAACACAACCAACGTCTTTGAACAACTTTGCGATTGGGACAAGAAACGACTTGATGAGGAGGCTGAAGATGTCAGAGCAGGCACTGTTCTTGAGCCAAAACACTGTACTCAAACACCGCCACCAAAACCCAAGCCTGGTAACGCCAAACTTCCTTGTACCTTCGACAGAGTTCCAACGTCCGAGGCTGTACAACTTGCCATGAAGCAAGCCAACAAGTATTTACCAGCAAAGGGCAGTGGTCTACGAAACGTTCATAATATGAGCCCTCTCGCAGCCGAGCAGGACAAGGGTGACAGGGTTGCGAATGAGCCTCACCCCTTGTTCAGTTTCGATTTCACCGACGAATCCCTCGGCTTTGCATTTGACCCTGAGGTCAAGAAAGCCATTGACGAGCGCCTTAGTCAAGGACTCATCTCAACCACACCCATGCCTGAAGACATCTGGAACGAACATGATGATCTTCCACAGGGCGAGGTAGAGAAAGCAGTTGCTTCAATGTTTGAGGGACTAGATGCCAGAATACATGGTTCAGCGCATAATGGAATGTAAATTCCAGCGAACAATGATACCGATGAATAATTGAAAACGCTCCTACTCTGGTTGCGGGGCTCTCGCTTGGTGGTTTAAATCCATCGGGCATGTGAGTCGCTTTGATATCATTGCTTTGGGTCATGGCTCGTAACATTCTTGCTTTCTCTATCTGGCTTACACCATTGGGTGCGTGGTAATAGGTTGCGATGACACCCCTCCACATTTCCGAGTTGTTGCTGTTCGACTCTTTATGGGATATTCAACAGCGACGAACTCTTCTACGATACGATTGATACCCTTTGTCTTTCGTTTTGATTAACTCTTTGTTTATTGACCAAATGCTTGCTGGGACATACTTTGGCTACATCCATTTTCTCTACTCAAGCTTTTCGTCGTTTTTTTTATGCACAATAACAGCCAGATGGATTTTCACATCGGCATATTTATTTTACATCACGTACATACTTACAGCGGGACTTTCGGAATAAGGAAACGATCTCTCAAAGCTGGGTTCTGAAGGTGGCTCCTTCTAACCCACTTTGTTGCGACAGCACGTACATACATACTTACAGCGGAACTTCCAGAATATCACAGATACGGTCCCTCAAAGTTTGGTATTGAAGGGTGGCTCCTTCTGACCCCCGCTGTTGCGACTAATTCGACGGTTCCACGCTTTTCTCGCTGCTCATACTTGCGAGATTGAACATATTGGCAGCATTGGCAGCATTATTAGCACACCATGCATTTCAAACGGCGAAATTCATTGAAGGAATGAGAATTTCAATTGTTGACTTCTCTAGGATGGGACCTCCTAGGACTTTTTTTTTTTTTTTTCGTTGTTGTCGCCATGGAGGCTGTGTATCAGGACTATCGGGCAGCGGTTGTTTGTTATATTGGTTCGATGATAGTGTTGGTTGTTCACCATAAGAATGGATTATGGCAGCACTTGTTTGTTATATGGATGGATGATTGCATTGGGGAAGATTGTTAAGGCGTTGAGGGCGAGTAAGAAGAGCGGGGTGGATGATGCGATGAATGGTGTTAATGGGGTGATGGGAGTTAATGGGACGATGAGTGCCAAAGAGGAATTGGTGTCGAGGATGAGGGAGAGTAGTGAGGAGGTGGCTAGGGTTAAGAAGGAAAATGCTAGGTTGAGGAGGGAGGTGTTGACGTTGAGGACGCTGTTGAAGGGGCAGGAGAGTGCGGTGTAGTAGGTGTTCTTGAGGATATTAGATAGTGGTGCGTTCTGTGCATCCATCTTTGTTCTTCTGGAAATCGTTGTGGGGACGTCCCCCCACAATGCGCCGAACAGAGGGAAAAACATCGTGAGGGCGACCCCTCACGTTGGATCAGTCTAGAGAAGTCATTGTAGGGACCTCCCCCTATGATGAATGCAGCTGATTTTTCCCTCTGTATTCCATTGTGGGAACGTCCCCTCACGATGCGCCGGACAGGGGAAAAAACATCGTGAGGGCGACCCCTCACGTTGGATCAGTCTAGAGAAGTCATTGTAGGGACCTTCCCCTATGATGAATGCAGCTGATTTTTCCCTCTGTATTCCATTGCCCTTGGGGAACCTAAGTGAAGTTCCTCTATGGTGGATTGGTGGATTAGGAAGGGAGTGGATTATGCTTGTTGAAGTACGCAGTCTTGTTACTGCATTTTGTAGGAGTTTGCCATGGGCAGGGATTTGGTTTCCTTTGAAGGGTCTCAGGGTTTGCTAGACGCATGTCTTTTTCGGAATGAGCAATAGCATGGCATGGAGCATGATATTGTGACTGCAGCATGGAGTATGGAGCATGGAGCATAATTGGAGAATTTCAGCGTGGCATTCGCATTACAAGCAACTGTCACAGAGATACCACGATACAGACGAAGATGATTTGTACGCTCTGTCTTTACAGGAAGCATGGAAGGAATTTCAAGGGAGGAATAAAAAGGCATGGCTGGCATGATTGAGAGTAACAACTTGTATAGATTACAATGAATACATAAAAATACTTTTGATATTAATATGATGTGGCTAGAGTCTTCTTGACTGTGTGCTTTGCGGTCGGTGACTTTGTGTGTTTGTAAGTTTGTATTCTGATATATTTTTTTATCATGGTAGGAGTAATTAGTATCAAGATGTGTGTTATGTTATTGGATAGACAAGCAAATCAAGAGGGTTAAGTTAGGAGGGTTGAGAGGGTTAGTTTCTTCTTTTTCTATGTAATTAACCATAACCATAACCATAACCATGATCAGGAGATCTACGAGTAGGGTGGAATTTTTAAAGGTGGGGTGGGAATTTTGAATTATATTTATATTTCCGTGTAGGTAGTAGGTAGAGAGGGTATGTATGTGTGTATGTATGTATGTATGTATGTATGTATGTATGTATGTATGTATGTATGTATTGACATTTCTTCTTTTGGGGGGGGTTTTTTTTCTTTTCTTTTTTTGCAAGAAATTTGGTATCATGATTCATAATTTAAGATTCATCGCGCGTTAAGTGTTAAGTGTTAAGTGTTAAGTGTCTTGGAAATATCTTCAACTCGAGTACTGTGGTGGAATCCTACAGTCTCTACTGTTGATTTGGTGTATGTAGTGTAGGTGTGATGTAGTGTATGTAGTGTTGTTATGTAGTTAATGGATGGTTAACTAGCCAGTTGAACTAGTGAGTAGTTGAATTAGTGCACTGATTGAACTGGTACATTGATTGTATTGGCGGTTTGGTTTGGTAGATTTGGATTGTTGAGAGGTTTGGTTTGGTTTGGTTTGGTTTGTGATATTTAAAAGAGTGCCAGAGTGCCAGTTTAACTGGTAAACTACTCGAGTAATTAGTAGTTTGAGTGACAGTTTGGTTTGTTGATTTTAATTTAATTGCTTGTTGGTTTGGTTTGGTTTGTGTTCAAATTGTCGGTTGGATTATAGACTTTCAAACTGTTAGTTTTTTGACTGATTTAAAATACTGATTATACTAGGTGTGAGAGGAAAAAAGGCTCGTGGTGTGAGATGGGATGGGAAGGGAATGGATTGGATGGGAAGGGAAGGGAAGGGAAGGGAGAGGGAAAGGAAAGGGGAAGTGCAGTGTTGAGTGGATCGTGGGAGGTACCGGTTCCGGTTTCGGTGGGATGTGCTGGGGAGTGGGGTGAGGTGTGGAGGGTGGAGGTTTTTGGGGGATGGGGACTCAGGTCTAATGTATTGAGAATGGGGAATGGGGAGTGGGGAGTGGGGAATGGGAATTATGGGTTGTTTGGTTGAATTGTATTATTTGTAAACTAAAGAAGAAGGGAGGGGCATGGGAAGTGCGAAAGAAATTTGGGGGAAGGGACTTGGAAAGGACTTGGAATGATATATATTTTTGCTATTTATAAAAAGAAAGATTTCAGGGTAGTTAATAGTTAACCAGTTAGAACTAGTGCACTCATTAAACTGACAGTTTAGTTTGTTGAATGGTATTGTCAGTCGGTTTAGTTTATGATATCTAATTTACTATTTATTATAGTTGGATTTGGGGTTTCAAGTTGACAATTTAAGCTAGAAACTAATAGTTGTTAATAACTAACAGGTTAGTTTGTTGAATTTTATTGTCAGTCGGTTTAGTTTATGATTGCAGATTGCTAGTCAAACTATAGTCTTTCAAGCTGTCCAGTTTCCAGACTGTTCAAGCTACTGACTTCCACTAATGATGATAAGGAAAGCTGTTTCAACTCACAAATTCAAGAGATATACCTAGGTATGGTATATTGGCATCGAGAGCGAGATTTGCTAGTTGGTGCCCGATGTAATAATTATGCTGCTTTATCAGTTGGTTTGTCTGGCATAGATATTGTATACAAAGACTTGGGATTAGGATTAGGATTATGATTAGCATTTGGGTTCCTCATGATGAGCACATTGAGGGCGCTCTACAACTTGTTTCCAACGTTGGTTTTCATTAGGGATTCAATATCTTTTGGAGCCATCGACTCGAGTAAATAAAATCCTCATACATATACCAAATCGAATAGCGCATTCCTCGGCACCTGTGACATCAAAAATACAATATACTCGGACTGCAATACTGATCTCTACTACCAATAGCCGAGAATCGGGGGTGGAACGAATGTCCGAATAACCATATGAGGTTTTTCTTTGTTTCTATACATCTATCTCGACGATTGTCTAAACCGGATTAGCTTCTTTATCTACAATAGCGCGTCATGCTTCCCACCAACAAAGAATCACGCGGATGGAAATAGGAAAGGTGAGTCCGCGCTCTCCCCCGAAGACAAAGAAGCGAGATATTTCGAGGACCTAGCAAACAAAGGACATGTGAAGACTTGAGTTTAGTGAATAAGAAGGATCTTACGAGGAAAAAGGAGAATGGTTATGGAAATAAAAAAAGAACCTTTTCCGAGGGAGCAGAGCGGATTATAAATAGTATTTTTCAAAGTATTTCAAAGGTGCAATATGAGTGGCGACGAAGATGCAATACACAAAAGAAAGATATTCATAAAGAACGGATCTTAGTCACCGCCATGTGCATGCACGGCATACAAAACAAAAACAATAGCCATGGAAGAATTGTTTGGATTCTAGAAATCTTTTTCTACCTCTAGCAAACATACATAAAAGTTATTAGATTATTATTCATAGTGAGTTGAACATCTACTCACGCGCATTTCCTTGAAAGCGAAAAAGCAAGTTTTGAGAGAGCTTTTCTGGCTCATTAAATACGCATCATCCCGAGCTGAGCTCAATCGAAAAGGAGAGAAGAATCAAACAAAACAGATCAAAACCATTATACAAAGCCACGGGCAATTTTTTCTCAAATCATAAAAACGTTAGAAGTCTTTATCTTGGATTCCAGAAGATAAGTCACAAAAGATCTAACCCATCATGAAAATTACCCATACAACATATAACGAAGTACGCGGGGGTGCACCGACTCCTATGCCTCCCACCCCTCCCCCCATGTCTCGCACTCCCGAATTTCTCACCACCCCCGCCGCATTCCGCTTCAGTCCCCCGCCCCCACGCAAGTCCACCTCTCCCATCTCGCACAATCCGTTACGCAGTACTACGCTCCGCATCAAACGGTATTTGAAAATGCACGTACGGTTTGCGCGAGAGGGGAATGCGACTGGGACTGGGACTGGAAAGCGGCCAGGCAGCCAGCGCTTCTCGCGCTCCAGACATGGGACTAGTATTCGCTATCCGCCTGGGGAAATGCATCCGCCGACGGTGCCGACGCAGGTGGGGAAGTATCATTCGGGGAGTGTGAGGGGGAGTATTTCGTCGAGGGGGGGAGAGGAGAGGGGTAGTCAGGCGCATGAGAGGGGCTTGGAACAGAGGTATAAGCATATGAAGGGGAAAAAGAGACCGAGTTATTTGAAGCCGAGGGAGGAGAAGGGGAGGGTGAGTGGAGGGGATTGGGGTGCGGATTTGGGGGTGGGGATTGGGGGGCTGGACTTTGAGGGGTATATGAAGCAGCAGCGGGGGTTGGAGAGGGATTTTGGAAAGGGCTATAATGGAGGGGGTAGTCCACCCAGTCCGCGGATTGATAGTCCACCAAGAGAGGGTAGCCCTTCGAGGATTATCGTTGCGCCGAATCATGCTCGTGTGCCGAGGGAAGATATTGGGGGTATGAAGAGAATGTGGGAGGGAAAGGAGTTTGATCAGGGGATGACGTCGTTGGATCTCGAGGGTTATATGAAACAGAAACGGGGACTGGACCGAGATTTTGGAAAGGGACTCAGATACCGCGGGAATAGTCCCAGTCCCTCGCAGAGTCCTCCACGCACTTTTCCGACTCATTCGCCAATACCAATACCGATTCCGGTTTCGGCTGGACATGGCAGTGAGACGGAGACGGGAACGGGCAATGCGAGTTTGGGAGATAGTGTAAAGTTTTCGGATGTGCAGTGGAGTAGTGTGGGGAGTGGAGGAAGTGGGACGGGGACGACGGGGACGACGGAAACGGGGGAGAGTGGAGTGTATGCGGAGAGTTCGAGGGGCAGGGGAACGGGGGTTGGGGTTGGAGTTGGGATGGGAAAACATAAGGCGGCGCCTGGGCAGAGGAGATTGAGGAGGAAGGGCAATCTGGAGGAGAGGGATCAGAGTCCAGCGACTACGCCGGCTAGTTCGCGGTCACAGACTATTGATAAGGAGGAGACGGCAAGTGGCCGTGAGGAAAAGGAAAACGAAACACAAATGGAAAGTCCAGAAGAGGAAACGACGATTGAACAGTTGAACATGATGCGAATGGCGATGTGGAATGGGAAATTGGAGAAAGTGGTTCCGCCCAGCCAAGAAGTGCCTAAACATACCGATGTTCTGCATTCCTCGACTCCGACTTCTACTTCTAGTAGAAATCGAAAGGACAGTAAGGGCAAAGGGAAGGGAAAGATGGTGGAGGGGAGAGCTAGCCCGATCCAGAAGTTGAAGGGGTATATGGGGCATGGGGTAGAGGTTGTGGATGACTTTTTTGAGAAAAAGACGAATTCGAAGACGGGGAGTAAATTACCTAGTCCGTTTGAGTATTTGTTGTATCCGAGTTATGATGGGAAGGGCAAAGGGAAGGGTGAGAGGAATAGTGCGGAGTCGAAGGGCAAATTGAAGGGGAAGGGCAAGGGGAAAGAGGGGGAAGGGGAAGATAGTGATGAGGAACTTTGGGGATGTGTGGGAGAGCAGAATAATGAGAGTGGGATATTAGTCCCGTCTCAACCTACAGGTATCGAGAAAGCTGCTGAAAATAAAGGGATGCCAGAAGGAGTACCTGAACCCCAGACAACGAGGAAAGAAAGTAACGGAGAAGAGACATGGAATGTGCACTGGGAAAACCTCTGCAAACTATGTCGAAAGCGCGTAACTAGCGGTCCTCGCGGACTCTGTCGCGCTTGCGAAGAGAATTTCACCAACACCAAGGCGTGGGAAGAAAGCACGGCCAACTTTGGCGACGACGATATTGCACCCACGCCACCGCTTAAAGATCGACACGTCACCTCCATGCGCGACATGCTCGCCAGCACGCCTCCGGATTTCCATCCCGATGCAGATGCTAGTTATCGACCGCCGCTTCCGGCTAAAGATACGTTTCACGTGTCGAAGGTGGAGAATAGTCGGCCGCGGATTGTGAATCCGTTGCCGGTGAGACAGGAGAGTCAGAGGTTGGTTTATGGGGGGATGAGCGATAGTCCGAGGGATATCGAGATTGGGTTTCCCGAGTGGCAGACGCATTCGTTGGAGGTGGAGGGGGCGGAGACGGAACGCATGTTTAAGAGGTGGTCGGAGAATTATAGAGGGGGGGTGAAAGGGATGGGGGAGGGAAAAGAAAAGGAAGATGGGGAGGGAGGGGTGACAGGGGAAGGAAAGGAAAAGGAAAGAGAAAGGGAAGATGGGGAGAGTCCGAGGAATAGTACTTTTTATGATTTTTGGGCTGATATTTTGAAGGGGGATGAGCGGCCCGAGACGCCGAAGTTAGAAGGAAGGAAGCCGAGGGCGTGAGATTAGATGGAGTGAGTGATATGTGTATGTATGTATGTATGTATGTATGTAGATAACAGTTATCCAATACTGATAAAAAAAAATCGTGTACTGTGAATAAGACGATGATTTGAATATCCCACTTGTGGAACTCAACTATGAAAGATCGAGTAATATACGAGCAAATGTAGTAATCGCAAGTTAGGCATAGCTCTCTCTTTGCAACACTTCATCGTGGATTTCAAGATTGTAAATTGGGGCGACATCAAGACACCACACCAACACAAGAGAGAATTGATGGGATTGCAAAACTTTGGCATTCCTCTTCACGAAATGATTGATTCCCTAACTTTTGATACCCATTCATGATCACAATTTCCTCTGTTTTTATGATGCACCAATTGGTCCTTCTCCACCGGGTACCAACTACTCTATTATTAGCCCATTTCCCCTATATATAGACCAAGGTATAGAGAGGTAGATACGCACCATTGCAATACCATTACCATTCAGTAGAATCTTAGGAAGCTTGGTTTGGTTCCCAGAGTAATCACTATGAATACTTAGTAGGCTGATCTTGTGATTATTCATGGAGTAAGAAAATGGATCCGTACAATTCAATAACATCTTCTAAAACCATGTTGACATAGTCATCGAAACCGGTGAGTGTGCCGGTAAATTCTGGTGGTGTGTGAGTTGATGAGGACGAGTAAAAGGGAGGGGGATGATGATGGAGTGGAGGGTCAGTGTACCTTTGTCGCCTTTCATTACGACCCAGATTTTAGACCCAACACACTTGTCGATGAGTTCTGATGTTGTGTTAGTTAGTGAGAGGTTATGTTTGTGGGTGGACAAGACAAGATGACTGACCGAGAGGGAGAAGTTGGCTGGCCATTTTGGGTGTCTGGTTTGGTGTAGGTAAATCTTACTTGGCCTGTCAGAGAGTTAGTTGGCCATATACGATAGAATGACTGTGCGAAGAAAGTCCCGATGTAGCAAATTATAGTGTTTGTCTTTGTCTGGTCCTAAAATTGTGATGGTCATGATTCCATATAATAAGGGCAATCAATCGAGTTGGGAGCACGTGAGGATGACAGCGCAGGCTAGAAAGGTTTGACTTACAATTTGAAACTACAGTGCAGTGGAATGTATGAAAACGAAAATGTATCAAAGAACCCGTTCAATTCGACGGAAAATGGTTTTGTTGTTTGTAACTTTATTGCCCACCTCACAATGAAAGTGAAGCTCGTGATTCTCCAGTTGTCAAGTCAGGCAAATTCATATTCTAGCCTCAGGCATCAATTCCTAAAAAGTTTCATATTATCACCCTCCAAGACCAACGATTGGTGTTTATTTCTCTACCCCTCCACTCCTTCATAGGATCACAGTTCTTTACTACAAATGCTTGTGTCATGCTCCCCAGTAATCATGGAGCTTACACGTTGGGCAAATCACTTCGCCGTCCCATCATGAAGAATATGAGTTCCTTTGTTGGAAAATCAAATTTGGTATCTGTAGAAGCAATGGGTTCAGCAATTGCGGGCATGAGTGGCAAGAGAGCTAGGTACGCAAACTAGAATTATGTTTTGGGGACTTTCATATAGAAACTAATGTGTATGTTGCAGCCCTTCTGTGACTCGATCCATATCGTCGAAACCCTCAAGAACGTGGCATCCGAGTCATGGCATTGTCTTCAAAGATGCTTCTGCGCCGGTGTCACCAAGATTGTTAAGTACGACTGCTGTGGCGGACCATGAACAGAACCTGGAACAACATTCACACGTCGAAGATGGTTATGTTCTGGCAAACTCACACGTTGACGACTTGAAAACTCAGAAAGTGGCGACAGTGGCCCCGGAAGAGACATTGAAGTCCGATGTGGCAGTAGACTCTGTTGAGGAAGCAGCTGCTCGAGAGATGGCCCGCGAGCTTCAGGAAATTGAGGAACGGAAGGATCTTCCGATATCCGATTCGACTTATAAAATGACCGAGGAATTGTTCAGAAAGGCGAAAGAAGCTGAACCAGAAACTCCGGCGTCATATTGGTCGCATACTTTATATCGTGGACCAAATGAAAACGGCATCCCAAAGAAAGTTAAAGTACACTACTGCCGAACTCTGCAAACCACGGAGCGAACATTGCAGCAGTATTTCTTAGGCAAAAAGGTTCTCGGGTTCGATATAGAATGGAAGTCGGACGCACGCCCGACTGCTGGAGCCAAACACAATGTTTCTTTGGTTCAGATGGCAACAGAAGAGCGAGTTGGTCTCTTTCACCTTGCATTGTTTCCCACGTGGTATGAACCAGAACTCGTGGCTCCAACTATGAAAAAAATCATGGAAGATCCAGAAGTCACTAAATTAGGTGTGGCAATCAGCGCAGATTGCACACGTCTTAGAAAATATCTCGGTATTAATTCAGTTTCCATATTCGAACTTAGCCATCTTCACCGATTAGTCAAGTACACCCTTTCCCAGGAGCACGATTTGATCAACAAGAGATTGGTTTCACTCGCAAAGCAAACAGAGGAGCATTTGCATTTACCACTGTTCAAAGGAGGGGATGTTAGAGCTAGTGATTGGTCTCGAGAGTTATCAATTCAACAGATTGCATATGCAGCTTCAGATTCTTATGCCGGTTACCACATCTACGATATACTAGAGACCAAGCGACAAGCTTTAAATCCAGTGCCTCCACGACCCTACCATGCCGATAAAAACCAACCCATCCTCACAGCAACTCCAACAAAGAAAATCTATACTCGACGCAAGCCTATCCAAGATTCTCTTCCGCTCGACCCAGAATCCTCCCTCCAAAATGAACCTATTCTTGAAACCGCAGCTGAAATAGAAGAAGTTCCCATCTCCGTCAACCCCGATGTCCCCCCTAAAGGTTCCGAACCCCCTTCTGGAACCCCGCCCGGATTAGAAAACGAAGAAAAAATTCCCACCAATCTCGAGAAAGCCAACATCGATCTAGTAGCCGATATATTTGTCACCTTTCATTGCGAGGCCAATCCACTATCAAAAATCCCAAAACAAAAACTCAAAGCCTATTTCGTATGGTACCACAATCCCCACTTAGCTATCCCACAGATTACCGAAATGCTCCCTGATAAAAAATTGGTAATCACGACGGTGAAATATATATTGGATGTGATTTCTGAAGATGCTAGCCAATTTCCATTTGATAATGACAGGTTAAGGGAGCTTTTGGAACAGTTGCCGAAAGGTGTAGCGTGGACAAAGTATAGGAGACTGGTGGAGGCGGTCGACGGATCAGTTACTTGGTAGTTGTACGGATTAAAAATCACAAGAAGGCGTTCAGGGATAGGAGTTTGGATCAGATTCAAAATGGGATTGAAGGGCATACGATATGTTTATGATACATCATACTACTCGAGTATGATGGCAGGGAAAGATTATGGACTCATGGTAGAAGTTCGATGCTCAACCTCTATGGGGATGGAATTAGAAATTTAAATGGATTTTTGATTTTTGTATACTACAGTAGAACCTGGTTATACCGGATTCTGTTATACCGGAATAATTTATCGAATTCTCTGAATTTTGTATAGTGATACCGGATTTTTAGCTTATACCGGAATACTGAACAACTTTTTCGAAAATCCGATATAAATAATAAACTTTTATTGGCTGAACTGATAATTAGATTATATTCTTTAATATCACATGATTATATTTTTGAATATCACATAATTATTCTTGATATATTTGTATAAAATCGGTATAAAATCTATACAAAACCTTATGCAAACTTGGATATACCGGAAACCTGGATATACCGGATCTAATTGGTCGAATTTTTTGTTCCGGTATAACCAGGTTCTACTGTAGGGGACGGACTTGCGCTCGCATGCGTGGCGGCTCAAGGAATGAATTAAATGTAATATTATCAAAAACCAATAAACCAACTTCACATCGCTGAACTTCTCTTTTGATGCTATACTATTGTATAAGTACTGTGTAGGAATATCTTGATATGATATGATATGACATGTCTTATTGCAATTATTCAAAGCGTTGCGTTTGGGTGCTTTCTCAAGGCAGATTACTCGTAAAGAACCGCGTTAATAATCGATCGCATGTCAAGGTTATTTAATCGTGAATTCGTTAAATTAATCTAGATGTTGATATTGAGATCACAGCACAGTTAGATTCTCCAGAATTTACTTAAGTACCTCAATATGTTATTGGATTAATATGAGTCTCAATTGTATTACTCTAAGTATGGATAATCATGAAGTAAATCCTTCAAAAGGTTGGTAGAGATATGTCATAGAACAATGATATAATATACGCATCTGAGCTAATTATGGAAACTCATATGATCATGAACATAATGTCATATTGTATTGCTTTATTATTACATTCGTTTACATACATATATATTCATACATACACACATCTCCAAATATACTGTACATAAAACACCCATTCCACATTAAGCAGTAGTAGTAGCATGACTCCCCTTAGCAGGGGCCCCATTACTATCATTATGACTCAAACTAACCCCCTTCATCTTATTCGCCGTGCGATTTGCCTTCTCTCTCGCCATCCCATTATGCGTACCGCTAAAGTTCAAATCCGCAATACCAGGGTACCCCTTAATACCCGTCGCCTTCTCGAGACGACTAGCGAGATCCTCGGACACCTCGCGGAAAATAGCAATTTGACGCTTGATAGCCTCGTCTTTCTTGCAGTTAGCCATGTGCCCCGAGATATTATTGATAAAGCGATCTTTGGCATCGGCAGTGAAGACTTTTTCCCAGAGCGCGCGTGGCGCGTTGAAATCTTCGGCGCGGATTTCGGAGAGGAATGTTACGGCGTTGCCGGTGAATTGGCCGTGGACTTTTTGAGTGTCGACTGTGCGTTCTTTGAAGTGGATGGGTTCGATTGAGGAGATGTAGTTGGGGCGGGCTCCTTGGTTGTAGAAGGCCATGCTGCCGTCGCGTTGGAAGTTGCCCATGCGGTAGTTGGTGCGGGGGGGCGTTGACGGGTAGTTGTTGGTAGTTTACGCCGACGCGGTGGCGGTGGGCGTCTGGATAGGAGAAGAGTCGCGATTGAAGGACGGGATCGGCGGAGGGCTCGAGTCCGGGGACTAGATGGGCAGGGTTGAAGGCTATTTGTTCGATTTCGGCAAAATAGTTGGCGACGTTCTCGTTGAGAGTGAGTTCTCCGATCTTGCGAAGTGGGAATTGCTTGTGTGGCCAGACGTGGGTCAGATCGAGAACGTTGATCTTCTCTTTCTCCCACAAGTCCTCGGCTTCTTTGGCTGTCATGGTTTGAACTTCAAGACTCCACTTAGGGAACTCTCCTTTCTCAATAGCTTCATAAAGATCCTTCTGCGAGTAGTCTGGTGACTTTTCGGCAGCCTCTTCTTGAGTGAAGAACTTGGTTCCTTGCTGAGATATCATGTGGAATTGACAGTATACCCAGTCACCTGCCTTGTTGACAATCTTCATAGTATGTCCAAAATATCCATGCATGTGACGCCAACCATCTGGAATACCACGATCGCCCATGAGGATCATGACTTGATGGACAGATTCGGGATTCTGAGACAGATAATCCCAGAACATTGTTGAATCATCAGCATGTGTAAGATGTGTTGAAGGATCACGCTTCTGAGTGTGAATGAAATATGGGAACTTGGCCGGATCTCTCAAGAAGAATACGGGTGTGTTATTGGCAACCAAATCCCAGTTCCCCTCATCCGTCTTGAACTTGACACAGAATCCTCGAGGATCCCGAGCACAATCTGGCGAACCAGATTCGCCACCGACTGTCGAAAATCTGACCGTGATGGGGCACTCCTTGCCCTCTTGAAACATGTCTGCCAAACATAAGTCATCCAACCCGTGTGTAGTCTTGTATGTGCCGTGAGCTCCACCACCCTTGGCGTGCACAACACGCTCTGGGATTCTCTCGCGGTCGAAATGTGAGATGAGGTCGATGAGGTGGAAATCTTGAAGGAGTAATGGACCACTCTCACCTACGCGTTGAGTCTCGTATGCGTGTGGCATTGGTACGCCGTTGGAGGTCGTATAAACGACATCTTGAGACTTTGCCTTTCTATCATCTTGATAGTCACGAGATTGATCACCTGAACCGTTTGCGGGAGACATATTGACTATATTGTAATGAGAAATTTGTGAATGAATTAAAAGTAAAATAGTAAAAATTAATTAAATTCAATATAAATGGAATACTAACAACATAAATATATAGAATCATCAATTGGGGCCAGCCATGCACCGACCGGATGGGCAGTGCATGCCCCGCATTTTGGCTCAAAGTCAATGACTTCATGAGTGCACGATATTCAATCCCAATTCTTTGATTGGTTGAACAATTAATAGAAGGATTTGAATTCCAAAGATCTTGTTTTGGGTTGACGCTTGCTTTCAAGTCTTGCGGTGGAGAGGAGCTAGATCCGGTACTACCGCGATGCCAAACGGTCGAGACCGTTTGATTTGAAGATACTTTGATACGTTATATAATCTTGCAGGGTTTTCGAACATTCTTGGTGACGTCTCTACCTCCTGCACGAGAACAACAGAGTTAAGGTTAATGATTGGTGACCAACTCCAATATTTGTCAGCAAATTGTCTTTCCGTAAACCGGGTGTAAAGTTGCCTGTTTGGCAGTACCGGTACTCGAATACGAGTACAAATGATAGCTTCAAATCAACCACTGGTTGCAATTGAACCGCGGCTGAAAGAGGTAAAATTTGGAAATATCATATAAAGATGTGGTGGCGAGCTTCCCCGGACAAGCCTAATTACGGTGTTATTTGGTGTATCTGCAAAAAATCATTCGGCGCCGAAACGGCATCAGGGGTATGTGCAGTATAGCTTAGTCATCAATGTGAATTCCCCACAACTTCCTTCCACAACCCGATTCAAAGAATATTCTTCATCCTCCCTCCTCCATCCTCCCTCTTACATATTTTTATTTCACTCTACCAACACAAACGACAAAAAAGAGGGGGAGAATGCCACAGCTTCAATATTTTCCTACCGGTATCAGCTCATATTCAATCTGATACTCCACTAACCTTATTGCTACCGGTATTCTATTCATCACAACCCGTGATATCACAAAAACAACATTGAAGCTTTGGTTGCCATACCATACAGCCATACCATACAATCCATCTTAGAAGAGAAGCTGTGCAAAACGGGTAACATGGTACAAAGCAAAGAGGACATCAGTCACTACATATCTCCAAGAACTCCATTTTCTTGATGCGGGTACGGAGTATTGGCTATGTAACCAGCTTATTCAGAATCTACAGGCAATTTTCCGTTTATTCTTTCCCTGCACGTCCAATTTGTTCTCCACGATTTCAAGGCCAATTTTAACGAGAAGACTAATTGATGCACAATCAAGTTGTACAGATATATTCTTATGATAATTCATTTGACAATCGCATAGTGAATCGCATAGCGAGGGAAGTTATTCTGTTACATTTCAACCCCATTATTAGGGCAAAAACCAAAGTAGTGCATTCACCAACTCAAACTACCGAGGATGGTACCACACTACCAGTAGCTTTCCTTACAAAACATCTTTAAATTCTTTTCATTTGTCTCTCACTTTCCTTTCCACTTTCCTTTCCACTTTCCTTTCCACTTTCCTTTCAAATTTTCGCAACATTCTTTGCGGTATTCGGAAAGATCATGGTGGGTAGGAAGACTATGGTTGTCTTCAAACTTGAATTCGGACAAATATGTAAGTAAGATTACAATTAAGTTGCTTACTGCCACGTTTCTTCCCCTATCATTAAGCAAACTCCTCTCCCATACCATATCCTTCACAGTCATCTGCCACCATTTGCCTCTTGTAATATCTTTCCCAAAACCAATGAGCGAGTTTATCACCACTCATGAAGACGTTTGATGACATCGTGGGAAGCTTCGAATTCACATAGAGGAAGGTAACTTTGCGCCAAACTATCTGGATTGGTTGAAGATATTCCTCGCAGTACACTGAAGCAATAAGAGTCAGTTTCACTGTGATGACATGAGAGGGTACAAATATCTTACCTCATACACTTGAGTATAACTGGCAGATGCGATAACACATCTTTGTACCGTCTGTTATGATGTGCGGAAGTGGCGACGGGTAATCGACAAGGTATCAAGTGATTATCGAAAGTTGTTTGGAACCAACAAGATGAGTGCATTGCAGTCGCATGTTTCGTGTTGGTCTGCTTGGTAGGTACTAGTGGATTGTGTCACCGATGCACATTGCGATGATCGATATTGCGTAATTGTTTGACACCAACTGTTAGCTGTTAGTATTCGGAATCCACAGTCCAAGTCGAACAAGTAGAGAAGTCGACTGTAGCATAACCACAAGTTTTGTTTTGTTTTGTTTTTTGAAATGTCAAATGTCAAGGGAATGTTAACTTACTTCTCTGATTTCTATGAAACTTTGAAGCGTTTCTGCTCAGATGTCCCACGACACTCTTCAGTGTATGAACTTAGGTTCATTAGACACTGAGATGTCTGGGGCTGAGTTGCGATATGAGTAGGCACACTTGCAATTTTTGACTTTGATTTCGCGGAGCAATAATGATTTTCTGAGCTCCGAGGGTTTGCTAGGGATTGAAGTCCTAAAATCGTTATCTTGAACATTGTAAGATACAACATGGAATGAGGCACGAAAAAAATTGTTTTGAATGTTCCAATACCGATGGTCCCAACTTCGGACACCCTCATAGAAGATCAGAGCCAAGTTTACTGAGTAAGGTTTTTTTTCTTGGAGTTCGTGGAAACCCTGCGAGAACTGGAATCTCCTGGGTAGTTTTGTCGTGGTTGTATAACTCCGGAGTGAGAATCAACATACCTCAATTATTTTTCTCCACTCGGGCTAGTGTGAGATGGGCTTGATTCCTTTTAAAGCCTTTGGGAGTCCATTGGCAAATGAAGTTTCATGGATAGATGTCGTGGACAAACAATATGTGGGAGAAACCATACTTAAATGAGCTATGATGAAGAAGAAGACCATGTGTCAATTGAAAATGATGGATAGGTGATGAAGGAGAGGATGTTGGATGATTGTGAAAAAGAGGTTGAATGTACGAGAAGATGAAGAGAAAGTAAAGTTTGTTGAGAGAAAAAACTCAGGTGGGGGACATGAAATTACCTGTTATCTTGCTTGTTTGATTCTCCATGGTCGTGACTTCCCTAAGTAGAAGCGCGCTTGACTAGTTTGAACTTCATTCACATTGTGGTGTTAAAATGGCAAGAGCGAGGGCAGGGATTGAGAAGAAGGTTGTGAACACAGTTGAGTGCAAGGCCCTCTTTAAGAAGCTGTGTTGAACCGACTGGAAACGTTTGATAGTTGACTTTCATCATTCAAATATGCTTTGAGAATACATGGGTCGTGATCATGACCCCATGTGGAGACAGTGTATGCAATCTCACGCCCTACTCCTTTCTCCTTGATTAAAGAAGAGGAGATGAGGAGAGTCTGCAACTTTGGATACGCTGTAAGGAGATCATACAAACAAAACAGTAAGTCTTGTGTGAATACCTCAAGATTCAGGATTTATCAATCGATCACAAAGTCCGGGTTTGTTCTCTTTGAAACTTGTTACTTGATATTGTTTTGACGTTTTTCACGAACTTGACAGAGCTTCAATTGGTGCGAGAATCTGACACGAGAACCATTTGATTGAATATGTATGTTAAATTGACAAAGGTTCGGGTTGGTCAAAGATCTTAGAATGGTGAAGGAGAAAAGGAGGACCTGAGGAACCTGTGGCTGAATGATGTGGAGTAACATTTCTATTACGATGTTCAAGTGTATTTCTTGAAAGGAATACGCGATTGAGTAAGCAGGTATACAGACTCGAGAGCTGCGACTCTAATTAGCTAATTAGTGGTGAAGAAAGTAGAACTACAATAATAGAGATGTTCATCATATTATACTTTAATTCCATCGGGTATTCTCAATAGAAGTAAAAGCGGCTGTCAGTTGAATCGTGATATAAGTCTAATCATCATAAATCTACAATTCAAAAAGAATTATAAAGTGTCAATTGTGTTAGGCTCAATACTCGTAGAAGTGTACACTATCCCATCCTAGCTCTACCCCACCTCGCTAGTGATCATGATTAGTCGATTGTGACTAAGCAGCTCGCTCGCTAGGCTTCTTCTCGCTAGAGTTTTATTTATGGGGCTTTGGACCTTAGTAAGCATCATCAAGCTGCACGGACACTACCCTTCATCTCTCCTTACCTCAATCTACTCCAGTATAAGTAAAGCCAGAACACGAGAATGAACTCAAATATAATATTAGTGACTTGACAGTATCAGAAACTTCAATTCATCTCGACTCAAAGTTTATATGATTATATCTACAATTATAATGAGATAACCCTAGATCTTTATGATCATTTCTACTCCGGAGATTACAATATGAATTATAATCATGGGGATCTCGAAGAGAAAATATGGAGGAGTGGATAAACAAAAAAGAGCGCATACAGTTGGTTTCATACCCTTCTTTCGATACTCTGGTTTAGATCGTTTGATTGTATATTCCCCATCTATATGTTTGTTATGATGGTATTTTTTGTTCCTCTCTCGATGTTGTCTGTGGTGTGGTATGTATATACTGCCCTTAAAGTCACATTTTGTGAGACATACGTATTACCTTATAGTTTATCTCTTATTGTTTTGATGCCAGTTTTCTGTACTATGGATTGTTTTGAACATATTATCGAAATGCACGAGTGAAAATAGACCAAAGATTCTATTGGAAGAGAAGGGACGACATATAATGGTTAAGTGAGAATAAATCAAAGAGCCTCAGCCTCTGGATTCCATCTAGATCCTCTCTCGGTACTGAAACATGGGCCCGTGGACCCACATGCAGTACTAATAAACTAGGACTTATGAAAGTCCCTGGTGAGAACAAGGTTAGAATGACTACCGGTTTTTAATACTCTGACTAGGCCGCAATAGAAGACGCACCACGTAAGTTTAGCAGTCGTTTCTAGCCTAGATTCAGTCAAGAGCTCCCGGTTGTCGATGTTGTATTCATGTGCCCAAACCTTTCAGCTGCATTCAATACTCTACTTTTCAATCCCCATACTATACTATAAAATCCCAAAAGATTCTTATACTCTCATTCTCCATTTTGCTGCTATATCTAAAAATAATCTACCCAGATTCAATAACGACGAGGAGAATGTCTCGGCATCACACTTTGACCTCGCAGAAAGATTCGGAGAGGAATTCACCATTTAGAAGTCAAAGATGCGCGATGAAGGCAAAGATCCAGGTAACGAATTTCCTATGGTCGCAGATGCATGATTACTGGTAAACCAAAACCAGAGTTCAGTCAGTGAATTGTCAGTCTATATGCATATCACTCCTACAGTGTTCGAATCACCTTCTGTGAGTACAACTTTCCACCCCTTTACGGAAGTAAGCAAAGCCGTACGATTTTATTAATCATAAATTGACCTCCCACTTCTGCATCAATCCTCTCATGATAAACACATGGAAGCAAGTTTCCTAAAGGAAACTCCTAGCTTCAATACTAAACGTTCAAACTTCAACTTAGATATCTTGAATTCCACATCAAGTCTCTCGAACTCGAATATATCTATCGGTCATTCCAATCTTCTAGCCAGTACCCTGAAAACAAGATATACTGCACTTTATTTCGAAGTCTAAATTTCCTCTTGTTTCTTCCCAAGTCTGCTCTTCCTCAATATACTGTACTCATCTCATACCCCAGATCTATCGATACAAGCAATCTACGGTAGAAAGATCTTACTATTTCGATAGCGAGTCTATAATGAAGGTCTTGTATTACCACATACAAACTCTCAAATAAGGCACTTTTAAATCCCTGAGTTGAAGCAGTTCTCGATGAAAACGGTACAATGACTTTGAAGACGAGGAAAAGTTCAAAATAGTTCCAAAACTTTATTTTAATCGCTATGTGCTCTAAGAAATGACCTTGTTTGAATCAGTGTAGCAAATGTGATCTAGAGTATAGCCTTATATATAGTCCCCTGATTGTATAAACAATAATTGGTTTACCCTTTGCACTACAGTAATTAAAGATCCCATTACAGGCCATCAACGTTTGCATCATTCTTTAATTCGGTACCGGTATTTACTACCTTGATTCATACTAGATTTCGACTATCGGTGGAATACTTACATAATATGCAGTAAGGTTATGCGGTAAGGTTATATGCTTAGCAGAGCGGATATAACCATCGTATTAGCATCAGGAATTAGAGCCTGATGCGAAGATGCGAGGAGGTGTATAGTCCTTAACCCATAAGATCGACAAAGACTTAGCAAAGTGGAATTCTGATCAATCATATTGCTGGGACGCGTGGATACCTGCTGGTTAGGGATTTGGAATGGGTGGTTACTATTGGTTAGGAATTGGAATGGTTCTATTTGAACCAGCAAGCACGCGACAAGTTGTTCGCTAGCTGCTGGTAGTCTTCGCGTGTGGCTCTTCTAGTGGAGGAGTGTTGCGAATGGACAATATAAATGCTGTGAAATATAAGCTTCAGCCCCATTCATTGAAGACACACGTCGTAGTTCTCATCGAAAGTGATCCCCAGTACGGATGGCTTCGATATTGGGTTGCGTGTCAGAACTCATAGCCCCTGACTGAACGTTGGCTATGCTACTTATAAGTTTGGAGTCGCTCTCTGAGAGATTTTCTATCATCACCCACTACCAACTTTACATTCATATCAATAAGATAGACGAACATGCGCTCACCAAATTCTCACCTGCCGCTAGCAACCGGCCTCATGGTCGGTGCGACGGCGTCCCCTCTTTATAAATCACCACTCGACATTCCCAACTGGGGAAAAGTCCAAGGAGTAGCCGCACTCAACAGCTCTGTATCCGAGCACGTATTAACCTGGGCCGACATCTCCTTCTTTGGCGGGATTCCCTTTGGCGCTGAAACCTCCGGAGCAAATCGATGGGCAACTCCCAAGCCTGCATCACCATGGAATGGCACGCTCGATGCCTCAGATTTCGGCCCTATCTGTCCTACGTCTAATATGGCTCTCACCGCATACTCCATGAGCGAAGATTGCTTATCCGTTAACATCTGGACACCTGCCACCTCGAGTGACGAGAAATTACCGGTTGCTTTCTGGAGCTACGGCGATGGAATCGCACCTCCTCAACCACAATTCAATGGAGGGGGTCTTGCTGGTAAGGGTGTCGTCTTCGTCACCTACAATTTAAGTGATTTAGCTACTCAAATTTACGTGTCCCGTCTCAATATCTCGCTTTTGAGTCTTTTCAAATATTCATTCCTTTGTTCGGCGTCTAGAAACAATATTAGATACATGATGCTGATTTTTGATTATTACCACAGTACCGAAACGGTGTTTTAAAATTTCTAGGCGACACTCGTCTCACTGAGGAATCGGGCGATAGCAGCGCCGGCAACAACTCTACTGGTAACTGGGGTGTTCTAGACCAGTTCCTCGCCATCAAGTGGGTTCACGAAAACATCGCTGCCTTTGGAGGAGATCCCGACCACATCACTGTCATGGGACAGTCCTTTGGATCCGCCGCCACCTACCACATCGTCAATAGCAACCTCACATCCGATAATGGTATCGTTGGCGCCATCTCCGAGTCGGGAGTACGTTCGCCAAATGATGTTGAGACCAGCTACATCGCTCTCTCCTATATCGACCAAACCGATGCCGAAGCCCTTGGGGCCGAAGCTTTCGAGGCTCTCAATGTTACAACTGTCGAAGCTGCCTGAGCACTTACCTATGAAACCATCATCGCCAATACCGGAGCTCAAGATCAACAGGTCAGACCCGTACTCGACTTCTACGCCATCCCCGCCAAATACATTGAGACTCTCCACGATGGTGCCGGAAACCCCGTTCCCTATGTCACCGGAGGGAACTCAGACGAGTACGGTGTATCCGACACCTTCACGACCACCGTATCCGATTACGAAGGTTACATTTCCGGAAACCTTGGCGATTCCACCGACGAATTCTTGAGTCTCTACCTCGCCGGAAACGACTCCCAAGCATCCACTTCGGAAACCACACTCGTACGTGATCAGAGCACCGTATCCTGCTGGCAATGGATGAACGGCGACACCAACTCGTCGGGCGGTATCAACGGCTACACCTATTTCTGGAACTACCACCCACCCGATGTGGGAACCACGACGCACGGTAGCGAGATCGTCTATGCGTTGGGTAATTTGTGGGCACAGGCCGGCGTCAACTATACTGCTGAGGATTACTATGTTTCCAATGTTTTGAGCAGTTATTGGGCCAACTTTATTAAGACAACTGATCCGAATAGTGGTGATTCGTACAATAATGGTACTTTACTTGCTACCTGGAAGCCTAACTCGCCTACGAAGAGAGAAACTTTCAAGGTTGGCGCGGAGTATGCTATGATACCTATTGCGTCATCGCTTGCTAAGATTGAGGCTTTCCTTAAGTGGTTTGCTGCTACGCCTGCTATCTAAGTTGTGATTAGGCCATGTCTTAGGGGATGAGAGGGGTCAAAGGGGATGAGGTTGGATTTCGTTCAGGGTTGTGGGAAGATTGTAAAGCTTTGTCGTTGTGTTTCTTTCTAAATTGTACTTTAGCCGAATATTTGTTCAATATAGCGAATGAAATGTACCATTATTGTATCTAGTCCAAATTCCTTCACTTTGAAACCAATTGTTATCTCATGTGATACAAGTAGCAATACTAGTATCATATTTTCTGCATTTGGTATGTTGCCATAAGCTTCTAAGTAAACCAAAGACCTACCTAAGTACCCTAGACACTACACATTATCATTCAATAATCCAAATACATCTCCATTATACCAAAACCACCAAACTACCATACAACCATCATGAAGAACTCCATCAAACAAACAAACAAAAATCCTTCAAAAAACTCACCCAAGTTTTCAATATCGATCTCTCATTTTCATCTACACCTACACCTACACCTCCAAACACTAATTTACTCAGAGATCATCTGAGCCAAATACAACAACAGAACAGCACAACCCCTTTCTTTCCTCAACGGCGAATCATCAGTGCGAAACGCAAGCCCCTGTACTCGTACAAACGAGAAAACTTCCTTGTCTGCTATTAAGCGAAGAAGACTTTCCAAGAACTGACGATGATACCGTATTCCTTGCGCCTTCTTCGTCAAGCGAGTAAAATAAGCAAGTATAAAGTCAAAGCGGATTCAGAATTCATATCCAGTAACAATTTTAGCACTTGATCCCACCGATTCATGATGCACATCTCCTTAGATCACCCTATTCTGGAAGGATAATTCCAAAGGCTAATTATTATCTTGAACCCATCACGAATTAGCCAATCTCGTTGTTAATTTTAGGTTTTTGTAAGATTACATCAAAACCCCTGAGGCTTTTAATACCGCACCTAGAGCCGAAAGTTACGGGATATCTGAAAATTTCAAACGGGTGAGTCACGGTTTTATTATTACTATTAAGTGCGAATAGCACTACAGTATAAAACCAGTACGCGAGTAATAAGTATTCACCTCCCAACAAACGACAGACACCATGAATTTCTATTTCTATTTACTATCCAATATCCATGACCAGAATAATCTTATCAAATACCTATGATTCGAGCCTATAGTTGAAAGTCTATTCTGTTTGTTTTACGCCATCTACTATTGCTGCGAGTTTGAAGATACATTTGGTATTTGTACAGTAATAGTAATGCTGATGGTGTTAATATACATAATTCATTCATCTGTCGATTATAATTAATACTCGAGTACTCGAGTAGTAAGAATGGTACTTGAGTGAGTAAAATACAGGAAGCAATATTCAATCCACCAATCCACCAATCAATAAATCGACATCAATCAAATCTTTTATACAAAATCAGAGAAGGAAAGAAACATCACAAAGCTACCAAAAGCCCTGAACTCTCTCCCCTCGCACCTTCCCCCTTCCCCTCCCCCTTTTCCCCCTATTTCCCCCCTCGCCCCTCTCCAAAATACCGAGTATAAAAAATCAAATCAAATCAACACCTATTACTGTACATTCAATCAAGCTTCAGCTCCAGATCCAGCTTCAAACATAATATATATACTTTTTAACTACTCCACCACACCCCTAAACTACTTCCCTCCCACCTTCCCCCTTCACCCTTCCCCATTTACATACCATCCATACCCGCCCATACATACTTCCCCTCCCCTCCCCTGCTAATTCAGCAATCGCAATACCCAACCATCCACTCGAGTATCCGAGATGCCCTGCCCTACTGCCCTAAATACCGTAGGTATTTGTCACGAAAATAATATTTCAAGAATTACCTAGGTACCTACCGTACCTATGTCACGGTCTTTGAGCTATCAATATACGAGTACCGGTAAATAATCTAAACTAATCTAGTCGTAATAATTTCTTCATGAATAGGATATTTTGAGTTCTGTTGTAAATTTATTAAATGATAAAGTGAATTATAAAGTACAAAGTACAAAGTACATTCCCGTTCACTAAATACTGTATATAAATAAAGGGTGTGTTGTCGTTACTCGTAAATTGATATTATTCAAATAATTAAGTAAATCTTAGACGTCATAAAAAAACTCCATCATCCCTTCATTTCATTTCATGCACAATCCCCTATCCTTATCCTTATCCTTATCCATACCTCCATGCTGATGCGATACTGAATACAAAGCCCCTTAAGTAAAAATTCATGTATTCGTTAAAGTTTTCGTCAAAAGTTACCATTTACTCTCCCGTGGAATGCCCAGATTAAATGCACCAATCCAGTCTTCAGTCCAGTCCAGTCCAGCCTGTCCCCGTGCACACGCTAGCCAATCCGTCTTAACTCTATAATTCAATGCCAAAATGCACGGCATATGTTCTGCGCACACTACTCCATTGGAGCAAAGAATCGACTTGCTTCTATAATATCCTTGTCATCATTTGCGAAATCCCACCCCACAATTGTGGATGTCTGACTACAGCAGATGATCCTGCGAGCGTCAAATTGGAGTTTGAATACACGAGCATGCACTGGATGTAGAGCAGCTAGAGATGCCCCGCTATTGGGCAATGTTGAAAGATTTGGTAGCAGTGGTGCTGCAGCCGTAGTTGTATCATTGTGCAAAGAAGATATGTCAGATGTATCATAACCTTCTGCTTGTAAAGCTGCAATTAGAACGAGATTTATAAAGTGTTTTGTGTGGTCTGGCAAAAGATCGATAGCAACTCTCAAGTGTTCGTGAAGCAGTAGATTTGGGTACTCGTTGAGTGCTTGTCGTAGACCTATTGGTCCAGCCGCGATTGCGTTATCGATTTGAGCTTCGGGGCCAAGTTTTGAGATATCTCCCAGTGACGACTCGTTATTCGTTAATCCAACGGTTGTTGGAGAGGTCCCCAGGAGCCAGGCGGAATTTGTGTTGAGCCTTCGAGGTATTCTGGCTGCATCCCTGATTGCAGTTCGAGAACCTTCCTCTTGACGAAGGGTGTGCTGAGGCTTCCAGACACCTTCTTTATCCCTCCGCCATATAATAATCGTCTCATCATAAGATCCGGACACAATACGACTGTATTTGCATCCACCTCCTCCTGGTGGCAACTTGGCCCCAAACGCAGTGATATCTTCTGGTTTTGAGGACCCGGCATTTTTGACACGACCTGGTTGATAAGCTTGATCGACCATTCCGTGGTCTACGGCCTTGAAATATTCTCTATCAATCCTCTTTGCATCCTCTCTTTCTTCTTCTGCGCTGTATGGTAAATCGCCGAATCCAGCTTGAACAGTCCTGACCAGGTTCGTATGGCTTCTCAAGCTAGCTACCTCAAGACCAGATTCTTTATCAAATACTTTAACTTCATTATCACTGCTGCCACTCACTATTCGACGCCCATCGTATTGAACGCATGCAATCCCCTTAGTGTGGCCCAATAGAGTTCGAGTGCAAGTGCTTTTCTTCCAATTCCAGACTTTTACAGTTCTATCACCTGAAGCAGACACTACTTCATCGCCTAATATTTGAACGGCGTTAACGGCCGCTCCGTGACCTTGCAAGGTTCTGATATGTGTATATGGCTTTGTGATAATCCCCGCAGATGGATGATTTTCGAAGCCAAAGTTTTGTATTTGGATGGAAGCTGCGTCGTCTATGTTCCCGGTCATAGGTCGACGATTGAATATTTTGATAGTTTTATCTTTTGAACAGGTCACCAGAACACGCTTGTCAAATTTGACATTCAAAACAGATTCTCTATGTGCTGTCGTCAATCGCTGGATTACCTTGCCTGTTGAAAATCGCCAAATGATGACGGTGGCATCACTGCTTCCAGAAACAATTAGATCTTCTTCTGGATCTGGGTCAAACTGTAGGCAAAGCACAGATCCCTTATGCTCTCTCAACGGAGGAAGAGCAAGACGTCTTGTGCCGAGATTCCAAATTCGTATGGTTTGATCACGGCTACCACTGACCAAATACTTTTCCGAATGCTGGATAGTGTAGATACATTCTGTATGACCCTCCTCAGGATAGTGGGGATGCGGCAATTGAAAGTTGGTGAACTTCCCGGCATCCCAATTGGCTTCTAGGCGTCTTCTCTGTGTATAAACATAATGCCAGTTGAGTTTCTCTAGTCCATCACCTCGATCCATAACAGCTAGAGTGGATGCTTGTCTAGGACGTGAGGGTCCTTTTTCTTTTCCTTTTCCCTTTTCCGGAGAGAAAGTTCCCTCTGTGCTAGAAAATGAGGTCTGAGCCTTGCCCCTATCCGTCGGGGATATTGGCGCATCCAACATGATTGAGTCTTCAGCAAAAGGGCTTTCTTTCATTTCCCTTGCGCTTCCCGGACCAAATATAGACGTCTGCCGCATCATATCCAAGTCTTGATTGCCATTATCCCCATCCAAGCCTGCCATCATCCGTTGCAAGGCGGCCGTGGGTCTACGCTTGACTGCATGGTCGAACTCATTGCCAGTTTTTGGAACCATCCACGAAACTTTTCCAGCAGGGTATTCGAATTCATCAACTTCCGATCGCACAACTCTGAATCCATCTCGTATATATAGTTGCTCCCACAGTTTCCGATCGAAGGCTAGCATTTGCCAATGTCGCGAGGTGCTGGCGGTTTTTACTAGTGACACTGGATCAAGGAAGCTCAGAATCCTCAAACAGATTTCGGATGGTAAGTGGAAGAAGAAATCGATTGTAAGTCGAGGTCGAAGGCGCCCAACTATGTCCCATACTTCCGAAGTTGGCAATTGACCCATGATGTTTATGATGTAATCTATAATGATTCAAGGTGAGAATGAAATCCCTCATGGACGCCGTGCGATTGTTCCTTACCGGCGCGATCTTCTGGAGACATTTCTGCAAGCCATGAAGGCATGTCTTCAAAGTTGGATTGATTAAATACGGTCAAAGGATGTTCGCTATACCCTTCATCGGGAGGAGACCTCTGAAGTGAGGTAGACATGACGGCAGAATTGATGGTTGTAATGATGATTTGGTCGATATGAGTTAGAATGGGGGAGCGGGGGGGGGGGCTTAGATTGGAAAGGAACTCGACACAATCCTTATGAATAAGAAAGGGATTTCGTGGTAGTTATATTGATCGTCGGAGGTTGATGATTGATGGGTAATTGATTATCTAGTAGGTAGCACACGCCACTGATCACGCACAGACTAATATTATTAAAGTATTTACGACCAACTCACGAGTTACAAGGGAGTACAAGGCAGGGGAAATCCAACACATCATGCCTTGATTTTTATAGCTTTGTAAGGGGTGTAGTAGGTAGTAAAGCACTTTGTATACATGGAGTCCGGAGTTTCAATTATTTTGATAAGGTATTGATTTGAGATAATTGATGTACTGTATTGATGTAATACGGAGTATAAGTGAAGGCGAGAAGCGAATACCGCTAAAATGGAAACGGATTTGGTATATGTCGGAGTCAGTTTAGGTCAAATACATGACATAATCTAGTGATACAATAGAAGGAAGTCGTAAGGAAGGAAGAGAGAAGGAATGAAGGATCAGTCATTTACCGGTACCACGGAGATACACCTACTAGGTATCTTATACTTCATTGAAGCAAGGAAGAAAATGGAATAGGGAAAAATGAGTACAAGTGTTTTACAAAGAACATCGAAATAGTTGCATTACTTGTGATAGAGTTGTACCGGCAGCTAGGAACCAGATTCGGTAAGGGAGAGGGGGAGGCTCAAGATAACTATATACCGGTAGCATAATAGGAGAAAAAGAACGGAGTGCTGCATAACCAGCATATATGTACTCATAGTGAATATCTACTTATCTACTCAGGTACTGTAATGCTGATAACTGTCTACTCGTAAGAATATTGACAATCAGTTCATCCATCCAATCACTTCTCGAGTCCTTTCCCCTTCTACACAATACTTCAAATTTCCTCTTAAGTAAACCATTATCAAAACCTCTATATACAAGGAGGGTATTCATAACTTAGCGCATAATCTAACCCCCATGGCAAAGCAACACCAACTTCTGAGACAAGACTTCAACCAACCCATACAATCAATCCAAATTCAAATCCACTTCTTCCACCCCACACAACACGACCCTTTACTTACCCTCGTCTCGTTCTCGTCGCACACCAACATAACTTCATTCTTACACCACTAAACAAACCCCCGATCGAAAAAAAGGAAACAGTACAATACAGTACCGGTACAAGTAATACATTATTACTACATTACATGATTCATGATTCACGATTCATATTTTGCATTTCCCAGCTTAAGCAGCAGTTACAAACCAAACTTGAAATCCACCCTAAAAATCCACTTCCCCACCGAAACAACCCTCCAAGGAAAACGTATTGCGAACGAAAGACCATCTTTCCCACACCGCAGCACTCAAACTCGACCCAGACCACACCAACCACCACAACCATCCACCCAGTTTACCAATTTGCATTGTCCAGAATAGAACAGATTAATTATTCCCCCTTAAAATCAGATAAAAGCGGGATATTTTAAAACAATTATCACAATTTTATTCTTCGTCAAATCATTTGGATTATTCATTCCACTTTCATGTCATCTGGTGGTGTTGCCATTCGTTTGGCACAGTCTCAATCTCATGGACCTCTTTTGAGAACGAATACAGCGCCTGTATTCAACAATAGAAGCGCCGAGGGCAACGGAACTGGTTTGAGTCAAACAATGAGCCATAACTCACGATCGTCGCAGCTTACGGGCTCGACTGCTTTTACGACTTCCTCTACGACTTCATTAAATTCTTTTTCTAGTTCTGCGCCGCTTATTCCAGCTCCACTGGCGATGCCAGTACAAGGCGGAAATGTAATTGCGACGAACAATATCATTAACCAGAGAGCCGACGCCTCGAGATCACTATATCAAATATGCGTCAATTTACGACAGCGGTTAGCACAAGTTCCGGGATTCGACGGTCATTTTGTTGATTCGGATGATGAAGATGAAGCCGAGGAGGATATGGACCCAGTGTCCTCACTTTGGAGATGTCTACGAAAAGGAACTCCCTTGGTGACGCTCTACAATACCCTACAGCCCGCAGAGCCTCTACCACAGCCCGACAACAAGATGGCGGAGCCAAAGAAATCGAAGATGGCAGCATTCAAGTTTGTTGAAGCTTGCATGAAAGATCTACAAATACCCCCTGGCGACGTTTTTGCTCTATCTGACCTTTTTGGTGATGACACGACTGGTTTCGTGAAGGTATGTCCGTCTCTATTGTGGTTATGCGTGACCATTTATATGACCTCAGTTCAAGGGTCTCGGCACATTTCCAGGTTGTCCCTTCTCTTCGCATGGAATTCAGGGATAACATGTGAAGATGTCTATGGTCCCCGTTCAGAGCTCAATTCAGTCTGCGACAGTTTGCGCTCATAGTTCTTTCGATTAGAATTTAGAATCGGAAATCATGAGACCCCCGCTTACCATTTTTCTACAGGTTACCCAAGTTATCAATATTGTTCTTGATGTGGCCGAGCAACGTGGCCTGCTTCTTACATCAAAGGCCGAAGATACCAGCGAATCTGCCACCGCGCCTGGTTCCAAGATGAGTTATAGGCAACACGTCGTCCGAGAACTAGTTGATACGGAACGTAAATACGTTCAAGATCTGGAAAACTTGCACGAATTAAAGAAGACAATCGAGCAAAAAGGTGTCATTGCAGGCGATGTCGTACACGATATATTTCTTAACATCAATGCGATCCTCGACTTTCAACGACGATTCCTCATTAAAATTGAGACTACAAACTCTCAACCGGTAGATAAACAGGAATGGGGACTACCATTCAGAAATTACGAGGAAGCATTTGGCATTTACCAACCGTTTATTGCGAATCAGCGAAAGGCGGCAACGATAGCTAAAGATAACTTCGACAAAATTACATTGGCAGATCACCCTGTCGTGGTGGATTTCAATACTTTGGATGGCTTCCTCCTGAAGCCCATGCAGCGTCTAGTGAAATACCCTCTTTTATTAAAGGTATATCATCCTCCAGATTATGGATTCACTAAATGCTAAATTGAACAGGATCTTCGAGACAAAACAAATGCTAGTGACGAGGCGAAAGAAGATCTTACTCTGGGCATCGAAGCGTCGAACCGCGTGCTTCACCAGGCAAATGCGGCAGTCGATAGGGAACTGAGAGGTGAAGCTTTGTTGGATCTTTGCAGCCGTGTGGACGACTGGAAGAACCACAGAGTTGATCATTTCGGCGACCTGATTTTACATGGCCATTTCCCCGTGGTTACTGGTAAGAGTGACGTTCAAAAAGAGGTGCATTTCCCTCTTTCCTCTAGTCAAGTTTCGGCCAAAACTTATAAACTCGATCAGTACACTATATATCTCTTTGAGCGCATTCTCCTCTGTTGCAAAGAACTCAATCCAAACAAGTCCAAAGATAAACTCTTAGGAAATCAAAAGGACAAAAAGGATCGAAAAGACAAGAACAAAATCAAGGAAAAGGATAAGAACGCCAAATTACAGCTCAAGGGTCGAATTTTCATGACCAACGTGACAGACGTGGTATCGTCTGCTAAGCCAGGTATATTCTTATCACCTCCTTTCCACACTTCTGTTGTGTCTTGCTAACCTTTCAGCAGGTTCTTACACAGTTCAGATATACTGGAAGGGAGACCCGGGAGTTGAGAATTTCATCATCAGATTTACCAACGAAGACACCATGAAGAAGTGGTATGAAGGTGTCGATAAGCAGAAGAAAGAACATGCTAATATCGGGGCGCAAGCAAGCACTAGCCCTGATACAGTAAACAGGGACTTTGAATGGATGCGTGATCAGACCGCATCGATGCCTAACCCCTACGTTCAAGAGGAAGAGGATGAAGAGGAAGACTACACTGGTACGACCGCATATGGATCTCCATCAAACTCTGGAATGCCCCCAAATTTCGGGATGCCTCCCAATGCTAGTATGGCTCGAAATTCTTCTAGTAATAGCCTGCGTTCGAGATCTGCAACAGCAGAGAGCAATCAGTCTTTAGCTGGTATTGCACGAGCACCACCACCACGCTTCCCGCTTGGCATGGGCATAGCCCCACCACTCAGTCTGCAGACTCAAATTTCAGGCGAGATGCCGTCTCCGAGTCAAAGATTGGGAGATTCGTACTTTTCGCCCGTTGGGGAGTCACCAGCCTCCTCAGCACGAACAAGCACTGCCTCTTCTGCAGGGTTCCAATTTCCACGCCAACTAACACCTCAGGGCTCCTGGGAGGATAACAATCGGTATACTGCACCTGCAATTGGTCGCGTACCATCAAGAGAAAGCCAGAGTTCTGTTAGCGGTGCCTCTTACCAGATGAATGGCCGGACGCCACAGAGACCATCTCTTCCTGCCATGGCTTCACAATCACAGGCTGCAGCTGCACAGCAGCGAAGCCGCTCATACAGCACTCCTGACATCAATGCTCAACAAGGGGTTCGTCGTCTGCCAAACGGAGCCATGAGCACCCCGCAGGGACAAGTTCCCGCCGTCCCCGGTATTCCGGCACACCTGCACCCATCTTACGATGCTGGTGTTCCCAGATCCCAGAACAATTCACCAAATGGATTGCCAGTAAGGACCAACACCCAGTCGCCTGGTTTTCAGAGAGATCGTTTGGTGCAACAGCAGCAGCCATCGCAATACGCCAATGGGTTGCAGTACCCAAATGGCTCACAAAATCTAAGCGTATCACAGCCTAATTATGCTCGCAGTAATACTACTCAGATGCCGACAACTTCACTCGATAGTCGGCTGCCACCGTCACTGATGAGCGGCAATCCCTCACCAGAATGTGACATGACTTTACCGACACAGCTTAAAGTGAAGGTGAATTGTGATGGTAATTATGTCACATTGGTCGTGGCTTTCAACATCACATATCAATCCCTTACGGATCGCATCGATGCTAAAGTTGGGAGATTTTCAACCAACGCCATTGCTCGGGGCACAATGAGATTACGGTACCGTGACGAAGATGGTGACTTCGTCACTATTGAATCAGACGATGATATCCAAATTGCATTTCAGGAATGGAGCGAGGCACAGAAGTCACAATACCATACTGGGCAACTTGGAGAAATTGAATTATTTTGTTTAAGCATTGATGGCGAGCGTTGAAGGGAACAATGATAACGGCATAGTGTAGGGTGGAAGCACTGATGGGTATCGATTTACATGATTTATCTTGATATATCAACATTAACATTCATGGATGGGAGGGTTATGATTACAACGCTGCGATAATGATAAAGGATGGTTTGGGGATGGGAATATGAATTCGGGTTTATTGCTTCTTGCACAAAGGTGTTACCTGGCGCTGGCGTACTTTGCAAATGGCGCCTATCATGGTGGAGGACGATGGGAGAGGGCGTATTTAATGCCTTTACAGAGCATATCGCGAAAGATTAGTTTAAGGAACAAGAGCCTCACAGCTAGGGGGGAGATATACCATTGTGGTGTGGGAATGGATCAGTAGGTTGACTTAGAAATACCATATCTTTGATACCGTCATTCCGCTCCAGCTTCCCACTCAAATATTTTCTGGCATTACATTTTGACGTTTCGATTGATATTTTCCTCCTTTACGCCATGAATGCTCCAACAATGTGCCTTAACCCATCGTAATGCTTGATATATACAAGTACATAGTATCTCGACGCTTCCGTACCCCTTTTCCACGTAATTCTGTGCCGCTTGGAAGTCCATTCTCCTTTTACAGTTGCACCTTGTATAAATCCTCCCAAGCCCATCCTGGTCACTTTCTTGATGCCGATTCATCATTCCATCAAGACCACAGTATTAAAATAGTTTACTCCGCTCACTTCTTCTTTCGCGGTCCAACAATCTTGGGATACATCCGTGATAGATGGTAATTGATCGTGTTCTTTTTCTGAGATGCAGCTTTCTATATTCGAGTCGTGTCAGTAGACTGTCTTGAAATTCTTACATATTTTTGTGAGGTGGAGGGGTAGAGGGGGAGGTGAGAGGGGGGAAAACGTACGGGCGCATCCATACAAACTCTCAATTGCGTTTCGAGGGATTGACAGCCTGCTACATTGAATCCGGATGATGCCCAACACGCTGCAGAGCACAAATTAGCAACTGCCAAATCATATGAAAAGGTTAGCTAATGCGAGGGAGAACGTACTGAGAACAGAAGTCATAATTGCCAAACATGGATTCGAATCAGTTTGATTCGGTCTCCTTACCCTCAACCTCGGCAGCGGAGGTAACCGCATGGGTACTTTGGCTGTGCTGGCTCCTTTGGGAGGCATATTGATTCTTGGCTGATATGCTTGATATGTTTTTGTATGGAAATTGCGAGGGGCAAATGTTCTCGGTCACTTAATCCCACTTGGTGCTTTCAGATATCAAATTGACATGCTGCTAAATAATTTAGACGCTAAGATATCTTTCGGTTAGTGTCGGATATCAGAGTGGGTCTCACTTTGTTTACATATAGATGAGTTAGCGAATCAGTATAGATCATAGACAAAGGTGGGATCATCTTTTTGATTAATGAAAACATAAGAACATCTCTAGATATAATATTAGAGAACGGACATCCTTACAATCAATAATCTGCCGAGTATTGATTTTGAACTTTGTTGGTATTGTTTTTGTTTATTACTGCATATTTCAAAGTAAGTATTCAGTTACAAAGATATAATAAGATACAACATAGGATTGGGGTTGTTAGTGAATGTGCGTTGGAGACGTGATTCACAATGGAGGATACATCATTTGAGAAAGGGGAGAATTTGTGAGCGCGTTTCTTTCCTCTCTCTGCATATGATTCTATGATGGGAAAATACTAATACAGAGAAGGGAAATGTACAAAGATGCATTCGCGCCCCAGCCTACGGGGAAAATAATGAAAGCCTGGGAACGAGCACCAGTCACCTCACACGCCCCGCGCTTACACGGACAAAAAATCTGGAAAAAGAGAGGTGGACTGCGTGCTGTGGAGGAAAATAAGGAGAATTACAATGATGCATTTATGGAGTTGGAGAAAGAAGGCGCGGGTGCGAGAAAGAAGGCGAGAGTTTTGGGGATTAAAGAGGATATTTCTCGAGCAAAGTGGCTTGATGGGAAAGATGAGAGAGACGCGTGGGATGAAGATCTGTTGATGGGTATGGGGAGTCCGAGGAAAAATATGCCGGGAAGTCCGGATAAATTACAAGTGGTGCCCAGGAAGAGGACGAATGCGAATTTGGTTATTACGCCGAGGAAACCGTTGCGGCAGATGTTGCTTGGTGGGGAGGGAAGCATGAACATGGTTATGCCACTTCCGCCGGTGGAGGGGAAGGAGGCGAGTGGCAGTCCAGTGAGGAACAGAAAGCACCCGAGGAAGAGTATGAGAAGGTCGGCCATGCCAGTGGACGATGCGCAGATGGTTGATGAGGGAAAGCATCATGTGCGACGCGCTTCTTGGGAGTTCGATTTTGAAATGGCTGCCGGCGAGAAGAAAATGGAACCAAAGCAAGGATTCGAACTGTCGCCTAAGAAAACGCCCAAGAGACAAAGCCTTCGAAGATCAATGCGTGGAAGAGTTTCAGAATTAGTTCAGGTTTCTGAGCAGATTTCGGCTGACGTTAGTGAGGACCAAAGCTTACATACTGGACTTGGACTTGATTCCGTTCCTCTTCAAGTCGAAACCAAGGAAGATCGTGCAGGCGTAATGGGGCTGGATCACAAACAGAATATACCTTTAGAGTGCGACCAGTCTCTAACCACAGAACCTCTCTCACGAGCAGCATCGGCCAGAAAGCAAGATGAAACAACCAGCCTTCAAGCTGAGCCCCTAGGTGCAGTAACGGAGAGCGCGCAAATCCAACCTGAGAATCTTCCTACCGAAAAGCCTACCAAAAGCGCCAAGCAGATGATGACAAGCTCACGTCGAAGCTCACGTCGAAGCTCACGTCGAAGCTCACGTCAAAGTGATCGACTGCGTCTTGAGTCGATCGTTGAGACCTCTTTGAATACGAAGAATACAGAGGCAATTACATTAAACGCTTTTACTGCGGACATTCGAGATCCCGCGTCCGAGGCGACATACCAATTTACTGGCGATTTTTCGAATTATACAATTACTTCTACATCAGCCCTGGAGCTCCAAGAAGAGGTATTTGATGCTAGGAATGAAGTGATGGGTGCACGCCGAGGAGGGTCGAGTGTTGTCGAAGTTCCGACTCCTTTCGAAGCAGTAAATCAGATTGTTGAAGAACTGCTTGAGCAACCAGTCTCAACCAACGTCAGTTCAGATAGTGTTGAGCCCCTGGATTTGATGCTGCATGCACACACTGAGAATTCTTTGGTCAATTTGCCGGCCAACATCCATGGACCAGAAGTTTTTGGTGATCTTGAAGACGTTCAGCTGGCTGAGGAAAGCCCAACCGATCACGTGGCTCCATTGGAAGATTCTGGTGACGAAGATATGGACGATTCTATGTCGGAGATTTCGGGAATCTTGCTCGAATCCACTATCAATGTCGCCAATCTTGGACTTTTGGGTTCAGATGAATCGTTTGTTAATGATAAAAACGAAATTGAGAATGCCGTGGAATCTAACCCTATCGAGGATCCCGAATCATTTGATTTGATGCCAATCAATAGCCTGCACGCTAACAATCCGCTTACCAATCCCGAATCCGACGTCACGCTCGCTGAACCATCAGCAGCATTTGCGGTAAGCTCTGAAGTCGACGTTTTCTCGTCGAGTACAAATTCTTTTGAGAACGATGATACGGATATGCTTCGCCAATTTCTCACCCGAGTCCAGGCAGATAAAGCTGCAAAAGCCGCAGCTCCCGCTCTCAAAAAGAGAAAGTCACTACCCCATTCACCTCTTCGAATTCCACTTGGAGATATCATGAATGCAGAAGCATCATCACCAATACAAGCGCCAAAGGATGAGTTTGACTTAAGCGTCCCAGCTACATTATCACCTACGCGTAAGAGCCGGGTGGCAACTCCATCGACGAACGAAGTAGAATCAGATTTTAAATCCATCAGACGTAGTGGGAGAACCCGCCCACCAGTCCCTAAGATTCCACTTCCAGCACCTAGCTCTATTCCAGTTCGAAGACTCGGTGGCCAGGATGGCGATACGACTGTAACTCTCAAGCAAAGCGTCGAAAAGGAAATGGCCGCTCTAACTCGTGTAAATACGAGAAAGAATAAAGCAGGGGCAGTTCTTCCAGAAATGCTATTAGCTAGGAAAGCCGATGGAAAAGAAAATCCAGCAAAGAGGCAAAAGGAGTTAAAGGAGATGTTTGACGAGAAAATCAGGAGAGAGAAAAAGGCTAAAAGCAAATCGAAGAAGACGGTGGTATGGGCGGAGGAGATTGCGCAGTATCAAACATTGGAGAAGAAAGAGAAGAAGACGATGGAGAGTAGGAGGGTCAACATGAGTGGTGAGAGAATTGTGGATGAAAGCAAGATTGGAGAAAAGGAAAAAGGAGAAGCTACGGAGAAAAAGGGGAGAGTTAAGATTCCTACCGGTTCAAGTTCGAGGAAGAGCAAGATTGCGGTGGGGATTCCTACCGCAATTGGGACGCCGGCTAGAAAGAAGAGGGTGGTGAAATCATAGTGGGGAAGTGAATGGCTGGATTTCGCGATGATTGATTGGATGAACTTAATGTTTTGTATATTGACGCTGGGGGGGAGGGGGGGAGTATCTTGATAGGGTGGATGGATAGATGGATGAATTCATGAGTGGAGTTTGGAGTGAGGAGTGAGGGATTAGTTTTAGGTTTTCTCGATTGATGTTTGCGCGCATTTTTTTTCTATTATACCTAGGGGTGTTATTGATTGTAGAGTGGTGGTATTTTGTTTTGTTTGTTATAGTTATGAGGATTAACGATGATGCTTGTTTATATTACTTTACTTCATATGATTGGAATATGACTGACTGACATGTGTGTGTTTCACTCGAATATAGCAATAGCTAATAAACAACTACTACTCATAAAGTTTTTATATTATAGAATAAGGGCCATGATACTGTTGGATGCCTAGATTGATATATATTGAGAAATTGAACTAAATAGAATGAGATAAATTTTGATAATTCATTAACCTTATAACG